TATGTCAATATTCAAAATAATTATATTATAAAGTCCATAATTTCTGCATGGTTTGCTCTGGATTGACATCTGTTGGACCTAGTACTATTCGGAATTTCTGCACTAACAAGCACCACCATTGTGAATGGCAACCTCTATTGATGCTTGCTGAAATCATAAACAATGCGTTTTCAGTTTAAATACAAGGTCCTATTATTTACAAACAGAAATTTGATGTGTTCCCAGCACACATTGATAAACTACATATTGTACAGGCTGAAAGACAATATTTCGGTATGCATATTGGGTGTTAAACTTTGTGTGGTCACTGAGAAACCCATATTACCTTTATTCATAATAATAATGTCTCGTTTTCCATTTTCACTTACCATACAGTAAGTCATTCCGTTCCAAATTATATTGTTTTAAAATTTGTATTAAATATCAGGGTTCTGATGGTTTTTGAAAACCTAAAAAGTAATAGTTAAAAAATACAGGGGTTCCAACTTTCCTTTGAGTCGTGGGAATCTCTCTTATGTGGAAGTAAAAGTCTGACATACAGAAAGTCAGAGTGTTTGCACATTTTTACTACTTTACTATTGTTTATATAAAATACAATAAGATTTTTAAGGAAACTCCTTGAACCATGTCTTCCTAAGAAATACATAAATTTAAAATTTAGAAAGTAGCACAACTTTTTATAGGTCTGGGAAAGTAATTGTAAAATTTTGACATTTTATTCAATAGTGTATTGCATCATTTATAAAAATATACTTCATCCCCATAGAGGATAACTTATAATCTCCTTTAATGCCAATTTTAAAGAAAAATCCCAACATGTCTTTTCTTGTACACTTCTGAGTATTGTTAAACCATCATTCCATGTTTCTTGCATACTGTACTTGCTTTATCAATTTTAAAACCAGGCAAGACACAAGAAGGGTGTTTGACAAATTTTGGTAATGGTATGATCTTCCATTTGTGTAGCACATAATACAGTGAAATGCTCTTTTACCCAGTGTCAAGGTACAACAAAAAACAAAAACAAGAACAATTAGAATTTAGAAAAAAGATGAAATTTAAGTCTTGATTCAAAAAGTGTCAAAGATGAAGATGACCTTATGAAATTGGGTAAGTTGTTTTTTTGTGGCTTCGAAAAATCAGTTGTATTTTTAATACATGCTCAAAAATGAAATAAAATATATTATTAACACTATACATAAGATTTCTGAATGTCATTCGCATTGTACTGTATACAAAACTCTTTTACACTAAATTCCTTTTTTTTTTAAATTCCTGCTGAAATCCAAACATCCATTTTAAATTTCTACAAGTCTCCTGTGGCAGTAGAAAAAGGGCCCATAAAAATGGACCGCTTTATTGTGCCGATAAATCATTCTTTATCATCGAATCGATCAATTCCCTTTCTTGTAGGCCAAGTAAAATTTCTCATGGAAACTTAGTAATCCAATTACCAACCAATAAAAGGAAGATTACTTCTATCTCGATTTTGTGTAGGAAGACACCATTTGTAAAAGAAAACAGAATGGAACTCACCTTCTTTCTCAAGAAACCCAGACCGAAGCTCTTTTCACACTATCAAATTCTATGTGACAAAAAATATGTAATATGCCCATATTTAGGTGTAATATAACGTCATGCCCATATATGTGCACATCAAACAAATTTGATCCTTGATTTTAAATTTTATGTGGCCTAAGACATGACAGATCATATAGGATGTTTATACTCATCAACATAACTCTGTTGTTGTAAGCTAGGATGCATACATATTAGGGCAAATAGAGGTACAGGAACTTATTCATCGCTCATAGGATTGCCATCGGATAAACCGGTAATCATACGCAGATTCAACTTATCCTCAGTAATCTTTATATATGTCCAGTGTAGTTTTTAATGACCTTTTAAAAGTATTAATAAAGAAACAAGTTTTTACGACTACTTACTGTAAAATGTTATGACATTAAAGTTAATTCCTAATCTGAGGGGTGGCAATCTCTTCAACATAGTTTCTAAGATATCAAAATAAATACTTTATAATAGAATGAAATAATAAGTAAATTAAATATATAACATATAAAATATCGTTATCGGTACGACATGAGATGAATAATGATAATGGCACATTTTATTGATTTATTCATTCTTTATTCTGAAATACACTTTCAATACAACTGCGTACTGGTTTCCAAAGTGGTTTAGTTAGATAAAAGTAACAAAATATGCCATTAATAAAAGTAACTTTAATGATAAATAATGATTTAATAATTTTAAAACAGCAAGTCCCTACATCATCATGGTTATAGTCCATCATTTATAGACAAGTTGACATATTGAGAAAAATAACTATAAATTAAGTCAGTTGAGCGGATGTTTTAAAATTGGGTCGCCACATTCATCATGGCACACCTGTTGATTATCTAGGTCATGCAGGTACAGGTGTGTTTTTCATCATCTACACTTGTTATTTATGTAAAGAAAATCATAAAGTTACTGTAGGCCGTTGAGAAAGTGAGTGGAAAGGCTTAGCTGCACATGATAAGGAGGGCTTTCAGAGGATCCAAGAGAAGGAATACTAAAGAGAAACACTTTGAAAGTTCAAGCTGATTCACCTTTCGCATTTTTGGAATTCTTTCGTTATTACCAAGTATCACATGATGTGTGACTGTCTTATGAAGAGCACTCTCAAATAATCCTGTCCTGTATTCAGTATCCTCTCTAGATGAGAGTTCAATGGAATCTGAAGGATAGGGTTCACATTGGGATCATGAGAAAGAATGCTTTTGACAAAATGTGTTTATAATTTACATTATCAAACATCAACAGATGAAGTAGCTCAATGAACAGAACATTATCAGTGTTGAAGATGTCTTGTCTCTAAAAAATACAAAATAATTAAAAAGTGATGTTCAAGTTTATAAAGGGAAAGTGATGAGGTTATAGTTTCATTATTTCTGTCTTAAAAATATATGATTTTCAATAAATTTGTACTTAGTTGATGGATACTTTGATTTTTTGATTTTTTTTTTTGTATACCAACTTTTATTGTATTTTGGATTTTGTAGATCCCTGGTGGTTAATTATTTTTGGCTTGCCATCCTAAAAATAAGAAACTATAGTATCCCATACCAAGTCCCTTTTCATACCAAATCTCTTCTCATACCAAAACAAGTTTTTAATCTGGTTTAAAACAAGCAAACTAGAGGTAGCCACTGTGCACTAAACTAATTTGGTTCAATTCAGTAATGCTTCAATGGCTAGCTACTAGTTAACTACCAGGTATATTGAGGACCACAGAGGGCGCTAGGCTGAAATTATGAAAAAAGCTACTTAGGGGAAAAAAAACTGAAAATATGAATTCTTCATTGTTTAAATGATTGTTTTGCATTTAAACATTCAATCAATATTTCCCCATTATAGTACTACTCACAGATTTGAATTTTTCACCATAAAGGTGTAGAAAATTAGCAGTATGGTCATGAATTGATGGTAAAGGTAATTGATTAGTAATGACGCTCTAGACTAATGGGGCATAGAACAACCTTGGAAATCCCTACATGTTAAACAAGTCTATGAAGGTGAAGGCTATGCCTTTAACTGGAGACTATATTTTAAAATTGACACATTACCACATCACATCCTGTGTAGCATTTCCGTAGCCCTCACCCCCTGACCCCTCCTTCAGAGGTTTTATCAGTCTTAGAACAGTGTCTCAAATTTTGGGAATGTTCCAAATCATAGAAAAATATCACCTTTATGAATAACCTATTACCAAATAATCATAGCAATTGACAAAGAATATGGGCCTACAGCATTTTATACTATCGTCTGTACCGTATCTTGATAATATATGTAATTTATGTGTGTTACAGTATCTGTATATCATGTGCAATGTTTAATTTAGTCCTTATTTATAGTTTCCATCAATTTTCTAACTTTCTGTAAAGATATAATCCTCATTCTGTATACTTGCAAGAGATGACCTCACTGGGATATGATTGTTCTGTGTTTATTAACTCCTCATATTGTACAGACTTGATGAATTTGTCTTTAAAGCTTGTTTTTGTAGTAGGATTGATATTGTTTGATAAGCAATATTTGTATGTATGCTAACAAAGTTATGCTAATTAGTAGATTAATAAATATATGATGATTGGTTCTCTGTTGTCCCAATTGGAATCTTTGCATCAATAAGATATAGTTTTGTTTTATTTCACATTTCAACATTCATTACTCGGTCATAAAGGACAAATTTTTAGTATTTACAAAAAAAATTGACACCAATTCCCATCTGTATTTATGGACAGTAATGAGATTTTCCAAGTATCCGGGACATTATCTTGGAAAGTTCACAGTGAATTGCATCATCTTCACGTTAGTCTTACTGTGCTACATCATGGAATGATATGTAATTGTAGGAAGTTCTATTACTGTATTTCCTTTTAAGAACATAATGATTCATTTTATAATTATTCAATATGCTTTCAAAATTAATTATAAACAGCAGATCCTTTAAACTATTCTACTTGATGCCCTTGAGTCTCGACATTCTGGTACCTACACATCATTCTGAATTTTTATCTTTTTTTTCGTCAAAGTTGTATATGTTTGTAGATAGTTAGGACCTTATTGAAAGGCAGTGTATTTTTTTTCAAGGTTTGTTTTATGTTTGTACATTGAATATGTTATCCTGAATAAATATTTTGGAAATAAAATAAAAGAAATATAAAAAATAATAAATATGACATGGGTTTGCTAGTTTTAGATATGTTAATGCAAAATACATTACATTTTAAATGTGTACCAAACCCCATGTGAAAAGTAATCATAATACATATTATGCTTTAATACAAATCTTAGATCTATGACTTCCATGCAATATAATGTACAGTTATGAAATATAGCGGGATGACTTAGTACAGCACATCATACCAAAGTCTCAATGTGCTTATTTTGATTATGAAATTTGTCTTTAATCATTACATTATATTTCGTTTCAGATGAACGATAGTTCAACCAGTAGGTTCGTAAGAGATTATGTTGTTCATCGGATACGGCAAGACGGTATCACTATCCCTGGATTTGCAGATGTCAGTGAAGAGGCACCATGTGACGTAACAGCATCAATTAGGAGAATATGTAAGGCGTGGATATTTTTAAATATTTTTTTTAGCCTCATTTTTTCTTTCAAATGTGAAAATATTGTCTAAAACCCTAGATTTGAGCTCTTCATCATTCAGTTAGAACACTATGTTGTTTATTTTGCACCCTAATATTTGTAGTAACACATTCCTTCCTATATGAATATTTAAGACTAAAACCAGTAGTTCATGAGCAAATACACCCATATCCACATCCACAACTACGATCAGCTGATGTTTAATTAGATCTCCATATGTTTGTCACAATCAGCTGATTGCACTGTGTCATTACATTGATTTCTTTAGACATCAAAAACCCCAAGATTAACTATAATAGCGATTCCAGAAATCTTGAACTTAAAGTGGCCCTCTATCGAGTTAACATCTTCATTTCAATAAAAGTTCTAATATCCTCAGTTTACAATCTTTGATTAGCTATGACGTATGGCGTGACCAAGTTAAAGTACGCTATATTAATATATCAAAAAATAACTATGATATGCGTTATTGTAATTTCAATTGAAATTTTTTTCAATTTCTCTAGGGTGTATAATAGTTGGTCTCTTTGTGGGTTAACAAGCTTCCAGTTGTCTATAAAAAAAATTGACAAAAAAGGGAAGGAATACTAACAATTTTACATTAAGAGCTGCTTTAACTGGGAGGCTTTAAGACATGAACTTTCATTCTTAAGGCAGGTGTTATGCGTAATGCACAAACAAGAAGACGGCAATAAGTTCACCTGTAGTGGAGTTAAAAAATCTGAAATTGACAGATTAGAAAGGAAGTAAGGATTTCCGAATTAATCAAAACACGCATTTGCATTTGCTTTTTATTATAGGTCATGAGATTGAAGAGAGTCAAAAGGAATTTTTTGGAGAATGTTGTCATCATTTGAACATTAGTCCTACAACATTGTACGCACAATTTATGGACCTAGCTAGTGAGCTATTTAAAAATCCTCACAATGGAATGAACGGCTTAGATATTTCGTGGGGTAGAATTGCCACGTTCTTAACATTTTGCGGGACACTAGGGGCACATTGTGCAGCCAAAGATCTTGTGAACCTGGTTCCGAGCGTAATTGGTTGGACAGTACGTTACATAGATCAACATTTAAATGATTGGATGACACAGAATAATGGATGGGTAAGTTCAAGGTTCAGGTTTACGCATGAATATTTCAGACAGTTCGTACATGTCCTCAAGCGTGACAAGCTGTTAGTAATTTAAGTTCTTACATTTAAATTAAATATTGTCATTTAACCATGCATTATGTGCTTACTACTCCAGTCTGTCAAGTATGTATCCCATTGACATTGAAATAATAACAAATAAATGATAAATTAAAGCAAAATTATTTATAATTGACAGATTTATTTTCAAATTTTGATTAACAATTTAATAATTAATGTTATTTTTTGCATAATTTATTTAAAATTTATGTTGACATCTTTTTGGATATGGCAGTCATGTGTTAATTGTAACCATCTTAATCCAAAAAAATCTTGAGTAATGTTATCCACATTGGAAAAATATTAAGCATTTTAGATTTATAAAAAAATATAGTTTTGAAATGCTAATAAAATCTGGTTGTTATAATTTTGTTATGATATTGTATTTAAAACAATGAATTTCCTCACAAAACATTTTCCTCTAGAATATCTGAATTTATATTTACAAGACATTTTTAGGATTTGTGGGGATATTTATAGATACGTACATTAAAAATCAATACTTAGTAGTGACCAATTATGACCAAATATGGTAAGCAAGTCCTATAATTAGAACTAATTTTAATAGGTGTGAGAATCGAGATTTGATTCATATCTACAGTAATTGCTTTCAATCCTGAAACTAAACAAACAAGACATGTATGGATATCTTGTAGTGAGGATAAATTATGTTAAACAGTATCATTTAAGGTCTTGTATTTCCTTGTATAATGTTATTATATTTTAACTATGATATAAATAATTTGATTTTTGTATGCTGTGTGTTGTTATAGTTATGATTATAATATTTAATCTTGATTTGTTTACATTTTGTAACAGTGCTTTGGCGAAGAGTATATGAATCCACTGTATGATAAAATCTGAAAAAAAAATATTTTAATCATGTGATATTATATATAATCAAATATTACTAATTGTTATTATTATTATTATTATTATTATTATTATTATTATTATTATTATTATTATTATTATTATTCCTGGTGGCACTTGTGATTATATTCTCAATGTTGTAAATATAATTTTCCTGTGAAATATGTTTATAATGAAAATTAAATTTCCTATATTTTTCTTTTTTTTTCCAGGCCGGCTTTGTAGAATTTTTTCGTCCAAGGCCAGGAGGATCGGAGCCCATAGTGGCACCAGGAACAGTAGCAATGGTCGCTGCAGGGCTAATGGGCCTAATTTACGTATTAAATAGATGAAAATGAATTTTCATGAAGATAAAATAAGTTAATTTATGGTCATTAGAATGAAAAAGACGACTTATGGTGTATACCTGGCAATGCCTCCCCTCCCACTCCCTATCACCATTTTGTGTCACCGTGTTTAGGTATGATGGACTGTTCAATTACTTTAGGAATATTTTATTCTTAATTCACATATTTGTAATCAAATAAATATCTTGTTACATTATTTGTCTTCCTTTTCATCACTGCTCTAAACTGCCATTTTGATTGGGAGCTTTAAGTCTAATAAATAGATTGAGATATATAAGCGTCATTTTTGTATCAATTAAACATTTTTCGAAAAGAGCAAATGAAAATAATGTAAGGATGTATATGCGTAAGAAGATATTATATTGTATGTTTGGATTTAATCTTTTGAAACTTTCACAGAAATATCGGTTGAAATCTACATTGTAGCAATATTTTGAATACATTAGAATAAGAATTTCTCCTTCACTATATTTAATGCCGAAATGAATCCTCAGAAATTGCAGTAAGATATAATTATGTAAATTTATGCATAGCCAGAATTATTCAAATATATATTTGCCACTTGCATGTAGATATTGCAGACAGTATCCTGAATGGTAAATAACGTGTAGCTTTTTGAAGATTTCCTATCAAGCCAAAAGAAAGAATATTGAGAATTTAAAATCGGTAGTTTTGAGTGCTCCAGCTTTAAGGGAAGTAGTATGCAGGATGGGAAATATGATTGAGTACATTTTCTTACAATCCTATTTTAAAAATCTGAATATTTTCTTCATTATTTGTAATTATTCTATATCTATCAAGATGAGGAAAACTCGTCCTGAATGCTGATTGCAACATTAATGCAATTTAAGTGTCATTTGCTCTCCTCGAATCAAGTGTAATGAGTCGAGAGAGGGCTCTCTTTTTAGAAATATTTTGTTTACTTTTTAATACTATACCTAGGTAGATATTTAGTTTAGTTCAAAACACAAATTTATATACAAATACTTGTATTTAATTTCTTCATACAATTTGATGCTAAACATATTGGTTTCAAATAACTTCAGAGGTTCGTAGAGAGTAGTAGAAACTAGTAAAACTATATTGGCATTGCGCTGATGCCAACTACACAAATTGTTGAAACCTATGTGGAATATCCGATAAGGGGATAAATTTATTTGAAATTCAAATCTCATCAATGTATGTAACATATTACATTCTAGAATATTTATAGATACTGTCAGCTGTTTCCATGGATACATTATATTTATTCAACTTAGCAGCGTATCATGTAAGCAACCACTAAGATTGATGAATATTCTATCCAACATTAATATTGTGAATCTTAAATGCATCCATTAATTTAGAATCAATTGTGATGATCTAACAACATTTCTACTGAGAGGTTTCATTATAGTAATGCATTAATAAAAATTGATTTGAAAATTGTCTTAATTTTTTTTTCAACAGGGCTACCATCCCAACCTATTATAGAAATAATAAGCTTGAAATTAAAAGCTTATTTGAATTATTTGTAATTATTTTGTTGGGACCAATTGTTAAGATATGGTTTTAAATTCTTTTGAGATAAGAAGTGACATCATTTTAATTTTTTTAATTCATTTACATAAAGAGTTCATTTTGCTTGGTTATTTTTGGTCATTTTAGTATCATATGTTGTGCATTTGCTGGTATGGGATGTCAGGCAAATCTGGATTTCAATTTGTAAAGCAGATGAGAATGATAAAGACACAGAGACACCATTTGAATATTTATTCATTAACCACTATATCAAAGCGTATTATTCATGCCTATTCCCTTTGGATTTTATCAATGATTATACCTTAGAATACCGAGAGCTGATATTTTATATTGTGTCAAAATACATTGTTTATTACAGTTCAACCTCCAATTCAAGACTACCTTTAGGGCCTGAAAATTTATGGTGATCAGCATTCGGTCTCAAATTAGAGAGTTAATTATATATAAAAGATTGAAGGGTGTTAGTTTGTACTAAGGTATCTCAAATTAAAGTGGTCTTGGAATTTGAGGGATATTGAAAATTATAGTGTCTCGAAATTAAAGGGGTCTCAAATTGGTGGCGAACTGTATTCAACTTCTTAAGAAGAATGTATACATGTTTTGTGACTATTTAGTGTGTTTATAATTGTGGAATTGGTTTCTACAATTAATGTTAATTATTTATTAATTTTTAGTGATTTCTATTGCTGTATTGTGTATTGTTTGAAAAAAATATTACGTACAGGTCTGATGTAGTTAAAATGAGACCTAATACAGACTGGAATGGTAGGTGTTGTAACTAGTTATCTTGTATATTTATTTTTTATAGCTAGCAAATGGATATTAGATAACAAGAAATAGCAGATCAATTTGGTTATAATAATAGATTTTATACATCAATATTGTGTAGATCTACTTGGTATGTTCCATGTTGGAGAAATAAAACAAGTACATAGCCAGTCCTGTTAGTATTGCTAAATTCCAGATTTATCATCAAGCCTATTCAAAGTTTTATTTGCTTTTGGTACTTTCAGAAATAATTTAAATTGATTTTGCTACTGGAACTTACTAAAAAAACTTGCTAAAGATACACCAGCTGTCAGGGAATATTTACATACGTACTCTCTACTGCTCATTGGAGCTTGACAAAGTAATTCAGAAATGTTTAATTAATCTGTATTTATTATTACTATAAAAAGTAGGGTGGAGACACATTTCTGGTATCGTCAGGCTTCTACAGATTCAATGTTGAAATGTAACTGGCTGAACTATAGAGGGGGTGTGTCATAGTAGAATATGAAACTCTAGAGGGGGTGTTTCATACAATATTTAAACCTACAGAGAGAGGGGGGTGTTGTACTGTATAGTTCCTATATAGAGATCTATATAGGAACTCTAGTATTGTATATGTTATATAGAAATGTAGAGGGATGTTTTCATTATAATATAAGAAGTCAGAAAATTGTTATATTATTTTCAATATTATAGGTAGTTATGAGTTTTGTTTTGAGTTTATGTAAATGCAGTTTTATGTGTAAATAGGAAGTTACAATTTTGTAAAAGTTGCCTAGCAGGTATTTTAAAGGATAGTGGTGATGATTAATAGAGACAGGAAACTATGTTGTGTAAAAATATTAAGTGTATGTTCCAACAGTGATTGAGGGTCTGTTCAATTGATGCATGGTGGTGAGATGTATCCAGGTATATGACTCTTAGTGTGTAGGCTTAATTGCCAAACAAGAAACAAGGGGAGTGGTGGGGCTTAATTAGAAGAACTAATTATCAACAGCAGCTTATACTTGTACCCATAATTCATAAAGTTAATTTTCTAAATTTGTAGTAAATTGTGTATCAATAACAGTATCTATTAGGATATAGTAGTAAAAATATATTTCAAACATTTGTTCACTCATTTTCTTATTGGCACCATTCACTAGATTGTAGTTTACTTACCATTTCAAATTCATAATCAATACAAGATTTGTGCTTGTTTACTGATGTTTTTTGTTTCTCCTCCCTAGATATGTAGTGTTTAAATATGTACAGTTCTGTTCATATTTTATTTTGCATACAAAATGGTAACTAGAAGTTATATTGAACAATTTCCACGATAATTAACATTATACAGAAAAATATTATATGAAATACGCCCCTTGTATCTTATTATATTTATGATATCTGTTTATTAATGTAAATATTGTAGTGACAAAATAGTAGGTATATGTACACTGTATAAATTTTAATGTACAAACAGATCAGATAAATAGAAAAATGGCAAAAGTACGATCGCACGTTAAGTCGTTGAGGGCGTAATTGCGAAAGAACTAAAAGCTACCAAAAGCTGTGATCAACACATAATTATACAAGTAAGAAAACATTACCTTACTTGTGTTTTTGATTGTACCAATCGAATGTAACATACATGTCCGCTAGTTGATGAAAAAGATGTATTCTTTCAATTCGCTTTTGATTGTGTGTGTGAATACAAATGCTATTAAAAATTAAATTAAATACGCTTGTACCGTCAGTACTCTTCTTTCCGAGTCTTGGTGCGTTCGTTATGAATAACATTATAATTATAGTAGTCTTAATGATGATGTTGGTGATTGTGATGATGATAACGACGATGACGACATGCGATGACGATGATTGATGATGATGATAATGATAATAAGCTTACTATAATCACTTATTGTAGTTCATTCAATTATTTTATTATCAATCGTCAAGATTATAATCAAAAGTATTCCAAAAGAAGTCCCATTTTGTGTGTACCAACGGGCTACACGATGATAAAAAACAAAGAGCAAAATGACGCATTGAACGTAAAACCTTTTTTTTTTTTTTTTTTTTTTTTTAATTTATGATGTAACACTGTCTTCACTATAGGTAGGCCTATAAGAGACACCAACATTTGCCATGGGAACAATAATCAGCTGATTATAATAGTTTTGTAAATTACAAACTTTTCACAATTTGACAAATGTCCAAACAGAACCAATACTGAGAAAGTTTTGATTTTAAGTTCTGTTGAGACGGGACTTTTGTTTGTTTAGTAGAACGGCGTACGTCATGACGTACGTTATAATAAAAACTAGTTGTTTAAAGAAAAGTATTTTAAGTACAGTAGGCCTATCCGGCCTTCATGGGACTGACAACCAAGATCATTGAGGAGGTTGTGTCGAGCAGGTGCTTTAAGTTGGAAAAAATTGGGCATCCAAATTTTATTCTGTATCAAAGAGTTACAACCTAAAAGAAAACGTACGGTAGCATTTCTTGTTTTTAGCGGACTTGGAACAAACGTACATGTGTAAACCGAATTCTCTAAAGATTGTTTTTACAAATAGAGCTAATTAGTACTTCATTATTTTGGAATTTTTACTTGGAATTACAATGTTCAAGGAGTGTATTTTGGCCCGATTTTTAGACCACAATGGAAATAAGTTTGCCTTTTCATCCTTTAGGCCTAATAATATTTTTGTATTCAGAATAAAGAAACAAAAAGAAAAGTTTTAGTCTACCGTTTACGCAGTAAAGTATAATGAAGACATCCAAGTTTAGTCTTATTGATCAATAGTTGAGACCGTTGAATGATGGCGATTAGCATAATAATGATTGAATCATTTGTCTTCCACTGTGGTAACGGGTTTAGCACCGTGGTGAACCGGATCAATCCGACGGGATTAGGGCGCTTAACCAGATCAAGCTTTGACATTCACAGCCAAGAGATACTATGTCTCACTCATTACAACAATGTTAAACCATTTCACAATTCGTAAACAAATCACGTATGAAAATATCTGTAATGTGTCGGTATGTAAATGTAAAGTGGCTTATCGGCTTGATGGAACATTTTAAAGACGTCATGTCTTTTAATTCTGAATGTTATTTGTCACTATAGGCCTATTTCCCTTTCTGTTTCACACCCAAGTTAATTTAGAGAGATTACAGGATGAAACTCTATACATGCCTATTACGCCCGGTTTACATTGTTATGAAGATGTTTATCCGCTAGTCAGCAGACTCATCAAATGGATCAAATTCTGTTGTCATTGTTTTAGATTCTACTGATAAACAAATCGTGTGTCTTTCGTTGTTTGAAGAGGACCATGGTAAGCGTTTCAACCAACTCCACTTTAGTAAGTATAATTTAGTAATCAATTTAAGCAAGTTTAAATATTAAATATAACATCAAAAACAAAAGTCATTCGTACTATCAGTCACGTGATCAATCATCACCGTTGGTTTTAAAATAAATAAATAGCAAGATCATCTCAACAAAGCACACAACCGTCCATGGGTTTATATAGGCCTACTGTCAGTTGTCTGCAAAATATTTACATTATTTTTCTGCGCAAGATAGTCAAAAAGGTCTTTATGAATGAAAAATACCTCCATAGTATTCACTTACTGAAAGTGTGCTATGAATGACGAATATTCAATGAAAAATAGGGAATTCGACGATGATTTAATTTTGTTTTATGTGAAGAAACTTTATGAGATAGCGCCACCATGTGTTTGTTCACGTGACATGACCAGGAAGATTTTTTTTTCCAAAATGGCAGCTTAGGTGGAACGACGTTTAGAAAGTTCTCCAATGTTGTGAAATAAATTAGCAGCTTTTGCGCTTAACTAGGACTGTATTTATTTATGTCGATGCATTTGACGCTTTAACAATTTTGGATTGAAGTTTTAACCATGTGGGAGAAAGGGTAATGTGCTTGTGTATTTGGAAATAATAACGAAGTTTCAACGTAACCTGCTGTGTTGTTTGGATGTGTGTAGGCTAGGCTGGCACAGCCTGATTATACTGTTTGTTGATTTTAGATTTTCTGACACGAAGGAAGACCGAGGAGTGTAAGTATGGACAGAGCGTAGTAAACCAGGGCAATGTAGTTCTAATATTTCTTACTGGTATGTTTCGTGACATACTTTTATTTAAATAACATGTGGAAATATAGGCATAGATAGGCCCACACACTGCTTCCTTCCTGTGTGTGTTGTGTTCTCAATCAAATTGTCAATTGAGGAAAGTATTGAAAATGAGTTTTAGAAGGCCAACAAGGTGAAGGGAGGGATAGCCTATCCCCTACTACTAGGCCCAGGCAGCCCTACTAGACTACTAGATTTATCTTCTGATGAGACTTTTGTGTTTTAGGGTCGAGCCAGCTGTACTGACAGTACTGTAGGCTACACCTCAGATTTGTTTGAAACCTTGGCCTTGAATTGAAACTTTTTATTTTATACACCAAAAAGTACTTTATTATTAATGTTACGCCGTGGCTAGGGATATGGTAGGCCTACCATATATATTATCCTTTGTTTGCTTAAGGTACAGTAAATTGCATTACCTAATAAAATGCCGCCACCCGGTGTGATCTGTTTATTTTTTCTTCATCACTGCATAGAAAAAAAGGACAAGGAAAACAAGACATAAAAAGCAGCGAAAAGGAAGGGACGAACAGGTGTCAAGCACCTCTACCTATATCCCCCTTCAACAAAATAAACCTCATATCCAACAGAAAAGTGTATGTGGAAAATTGCACATACGTTTTTTTACATTAAAAAATATATAAATAAAGAGATACTGTAAACACATTGAACATTACAATTTTAACATTTAAATTATTACAAGACAATTATTTAATTATTTATCTAATTAAACTAAAACATACAATAATATTAAAAATAGGTATAAAAAACATAGTATATTATACAAAAAGAGAAGTTTTTAAATTATTAATTATTTGTTTATTATCTAAAACTACTAAAAAAATGACAAAACAGATAGAATTAAAATATCTGATATACAAAAAGAGGTTATTAAATTATTAATTTGTTCATTTATTTTAACTATGTCATGTTATATAACGTACTGTATTTATATACGAATATGAATTAAGCCTATTGTTGAACGTATCCCATGTCGTGGTTTACAAAAGTACATTAAAAAAAATATTCAACAAGCAGTAAAGAATACAAATATTTATTTACAATAAGGGGCCTACCCATTATATTTACAATTCTCATATTTGTGAAGCAAATTTTACAAATATTCTCAGTTTTTAATTCAGAGAAAAAATCTAATCTTGACTGTTGTACAGTACAGTAAAGGTGTTAAATGTTTGAGTGACTAGTAAGTTAACAAACCATTGGTTTACTTTATGGAATATGTGATAGAGGATTGCCATTAATTGTTCTGTAGTACAGTAGGCATTTTTAAATTCTTATTTACTGTATTCATTTTTGGCGAGTTGCTAACTGTAAATTATTAACTTGTTTTGTGCTCAGCGAGTTCGATGTTGTGTTGTCAGTTTTGTATATAACAACTCAGCAGGAAAGCAGGCTCAAAATGAGCGATTTGTGAATGATGTTGTCACGCTGGTGGCAGTATTTATTGAATAATGCAATTTACCGTACCTTTAGCAACAGGAAGTTAAGATACGGTACCGTATCTCTAGCCACGGCGTTAATATTATGAATCTGCCCAAGCAAGGAGGGGATTCAATGACTTCTGACAAAAAATTTCATTAAAAAAAAATAATAATAATAATAACAATAAAATTATTATAGCTGGTCATGGGTAAACTATGAAGTGTTAAAGAAAGCTTATTCAACCAGAATTTACTTAAAAAGTGGCTTCACTTAATTTGGAAACTCTGTTTATAACAGGATCAATTCCATTGAAGATGCATTAATTTTGTCATGTGTTTATTATAATAGCCTATAGGCCACAGGTGGACAAAGTGCGGCCCGTCAGCGATTTTTGTGCAGCCTGTGACAATGAATTAAAAGCCCATGTTTGCAGCCCGCTAATCAAAATTAGCTAGAAAACACCTTATTTTTATGGCCCGACACCAATAATATGTATAAAGTAACATTAAAACTGAGAATAAAGTTTATTTAAAAGCAGTGATTGGAGGTTTTTGGAAGCTCACTGGAATATTAAAGTTTGGGTGCGGCCCTCTGTGTTAAATCAAAAGTTCACTTTGGCCCTCCAACCGATTTTTATGCCCACCCCTGCTATGCCTACTTGCTCTAGGTTTTGTGCAAACTGTTTTTTTTCTTAGTAAAAGAAAAAGTTATGTCTCTCTGTTATGTGTTGTGTTGATAACGGATGGAAAGTAAAACCATCGCTGATTTGTACATGCAAGCCTATAAAATAATGAATTAACAAAACCATGTCAAAATTAGTCATCAAAGATTACAGTATATTGTATAATAGATTGAGGACTGGGGAGATTGTTATGACCTATGGGAAAAGTAGTAGTATGTAATGCATATTATAAAAACCATACGATAATAACATTGAACTTTACTTATGAAGCACACACTAAACCTAATCCATTCACAGCATGCCAATTACATTTTATTACAAATAAAAGACATAAGAAAAATGTTCCAGTGAAATATGCAATCAGATGGGCATGGTACAGTATATTCGTGGTCACTGTGCCCTAGTTACAGAAAGGATGAAGCTGGTTTGATTTTAAAATAAATCCATTGGCTTTGTACTCTACATGACATTTTATTTACAGTACAGTATAGGGAAAATGTTAATAAAAATAAAGACATACAGTATGTATTTAAAAATTCATTTACAAATGGATAAAGATCCACATACGGTAAATCTATATACTTAATAATTAAAAAAAGAAAAAGAAAAAATGAATTACAATATTTGAACTTGAAATTAGGAGAATATATTCTTTATCAAATATGAACATTTAAATAATACTTAGTAGATTCTTTGCATATTAACATTTTTTTTAGTAAAACATTAGTAAATCATTTTAAAATGACATTTTTGATATGTGACTTATTGAAAGTTAACAGTTTTTTACAATTCTGAAATTGATTAGGTGGCAGTACCTATATCTGACTGTTAATAGTGCTTTAATATAGAGCTCTCCCCTGCTATCCATATTCTAATTGTTACATTTTTTTGTGCATCTATTATTTTTTTACTATAGTATTTGAGCTTTTTGATGTTGTTGATGACATTTTTATTGTGTGAAATTGTATTTTAAATAAATTATGTAATTTAACAATAACTACAATATTATTGCAGAAAACTCAAAGTGCGGGTGAACGACGCACACTGAACCAGAGTTGCAAGTGCTTTGCACAGTAACCCCCAATTGTAAATTGTGAATCTAAGTTTAAATCCTTGTTATTAAATTACAGTATATAATATGATCATTAGTATATTGTGTATTATACCTTTGACTAATGTACAGTATTGTCGTATTTATTTTTAGGTAGAGATTGATATATCAAGGTGCATTTTCTGTGTATAGACCTATGTACTCCCAGCGGGTACTCTAGTTGATACCATCGCATTGCCATCAATGAGGAATCAATTCCAGATTAACATGGAAGGTAAGATATGGCATGTTGGTTGTAGTGACCTATCTATCCTATGTACTATCCTACAAGTCCTGTGCTCAACTTAGGCTTAATAAAAGTAAAAAATGATCAAGAACAAAATAACTCCACTCCAAAAATATAAATAGGTCCTACATAGAAATTCTGAGGGATTATTCCTTATATAATATTATGAAATTTTTTTTATAAAAGGCATGGTAATTTCTAGGTGTTTATCACAATTCAATCAATCAATCAATCAATCAATCAATCAATCAGTGAATAAATCATTTTAATCTGTATTTTTGACATATGATTGTTCTATCTGACTGGAAACTTTACTGTGGTTTATTTGTTAGCCCCTGGCAATGATCCAAGCCACTGGGGAATGTACTATAGTGAGATACACCTACTAACCTTTTAATGACAAGATGTGATAATGAAAGATTTGACTATTACAATATGACTAATAGTAAATACAGATTGAATGTTATGATTTTATGATGGTTGAAAATATAGTGTAAACAATAGTTTAAATAATAATAATTTTTTTTCCTACCGACTGACACTAAAATGATGCTATAACATAAAAGTTTTTTATTTGCATTAAAATCAAAATAATATTCAAGTGTACTTGTACAATGAATTACAGTTTTTAAATGTTTAGAAAAATATTACTTCAACGAAGTTATTCCATATTAGATCTTGTACCGCATTGAAGAATTCCTTCTACTTTCAGTTCCTTTTATTATAATCTTCCAAATATGGAGCTCATACAGTGTAATCAACAATAAGCAAACTGAAACCAGTGAATTATTGTTTATTCAACAACACTTTGTGGGTGTGATTGCTGATGAATGATTACAGTACTGTACAAGTATCTATCTAAACATACCAATCTATATTTGGAATACCAACTCCCATCTCTATGCCAGGGACTTGCAGGCACTTCTTGGTAGTTTATTTAGTGTTATGATATTCCATTTTTTATTGTGGTAGGCTTATATAGTAGAATAGAAAGTAAATTCTTATTCTAAATGCCATAATATTTAGAGAAAAAAATGAATACTGTATTTTATAGTATGACATGCAGGTATTGTAACTTAAAAGGTACACTTTATGTGAAGTCTTAAATTGTTTCACTATAATTATTTATTAAATGTTCAAGTAATTTTATTTTGACTTACTATAATAAAAGTAAAATTTTGTTGTTTAAAAAGAAACTCTTCACTTAAAATAAATAATAACATTATTATTAAACTTATTTCACAGAAAAGCAATCCAATTCACTCATGCAAAAATCTAGCAAAATGTAAAATAAGGCTACAAATTGTTACATTGGTTATGCACATGAATGCACATTATGTAAACATTACTGTATTTGACGTTCATGTACATTTATGTGTGAATCAGATATAAGCCCTTGACCTATGCATTCAACTAATCACTTTATATTCAATGATTGATGAAATACTGAAATGTGATTAAAAAGAAGAATGTAATTTATGATCCTGAGAAAATATGCCAAACATTAAATTACTCACAAAGACACCTATCATAAATATATTGTTTTTCTCATACAATTGTCGGAGCTGTTGATTATACAGTATATCCAATACAATCAATATGTATTACATCCCAACATCTTACCATTGTAAATTTATTATTGTTTCAAATGTTAATTGATGGCATTACTGTATGCCTTTTGATCTTTGATTTAACCCATGTTATCTGTCAGTTACATTATCCTGGTGATCAAGAAAATATACATGTGATTGGTTAAGTTCACTTTATAAGGGATTGGAAGAAGTCATGAACCTTTTAGGCTTCAACTTGGATGTAATCGAGTCATGAACTTATTTTGCTTCAAGCTAGATATGAAAATGTCATGAACCTCTCATGGATTAGTTTATCTGTAATTAAGTTTATGTTACACAAGCTATGCAAATTGGAATCTAGTATTCAGTTGATGGGGTTCTTCCATGTACAGTAATTGACTGATATGATTGCAATAGAATACTTTCTTTTGCATGTCCGCACCCATCATTAGAATACTATATGATATTATAGGCATTATGACCGAGTTAATATCAGGCTAAAGAAAACACTAATTCTAATTACATTTTTACTCATAACTGCAGTATTTATTTGAAGTTAAAAAAATATTAGAAATATCCATATTGTTTAAGATTGTAATGTAAGTTACAGTATATATTAACCACTCTGTTCTCCATAAATCCTTACATATTCTCACTTAAAAATTTCCTTCCAAACTCAATTGAAAAATTTGTTTAACTATCAACCAACTTTATTACAGAATATATGTTTAAATTATTAGTTGTAAGGTGAGGGCATTATTTTGGTGTCTATTCAAGACAATCAACTATATTGTATTATCTTATTAAAAATTATTAATTTTCAAGTTGAGGACATTTAAAAAATATAATGTACTACATCAATACACACAGTAAGTTGTGCAGACAGATCTTTATGTCATATCAAGTGTGATGATTAATGCATTACATATGTTGGCAAGAGTTAATAGGGAAGTGGAAATTTAACAAGGGATACTCGTTGCCTACAGTAGCTTTGCAGATAAATTGCTTATCCCTGTAAAGTATGCAAAGTTTGTTCAGATTTAGAAGTTGATGTTTTTTGTTGATTTTTTTTTTTTGAAAGGTGAGGTGGTGAATGGCTCTGGGAATGATAGTCATACAGTACATTAGAAACAAGGTGACTTGTTACAATACTGTGTTCTTGTATCTTGGATTTGTTGTTTAGCCTGTGTTTATAATGTTCAATGCAGCTGTTTTAATTGTCGCAGAATGCTGTAAACATTAATTTTTAAGAGGATATATATCATACTGATACTCTGCCAGTTTCAACTTTTCATAACATGTTCATGTTGAAAAATAACCATTCATTCAATATCTTCAAAACTACAATGTGAAGGTTCTTATTCGGGGCTTGCCATGCCAAAAGTAGCACCAGTGACTAAAACAAGAAAATTGACTTTTTAAATCGTATTCTCCACATTATAAGCTTTAAAATGATATGTTGACATTTACTGGAATCAACTTACTATAATTGCCCAAGTTATCAGTAAAAGTGTACAGCTTCTGTGTACTAAAGTATACAATAGTGCCACATTCTACACTGATTACTCAGTTGAACATTAGCGACAGTACAGTAGGCCTACGCTGGTTTACGGTTTATAATTTCAAATTAGAAACTTGATAAACTAATTGAATATGCATTTGAATTTTTTATTTTTGCTCATTTCCCCACTCTACCACCAATTCAATCCACAGTAAGTAAAAGAATAAATGGTGTAATTTATATTAACAATTTAACTAAGTCCTGGTGAATTTGATGCTAGCTATTAGTTATTAGTTTATTTCTTAAATATTACCTATATTAAAATCATAATTGCCTCTTCTCATAAACAAGGAAGAGAGGTTCTCGAGCAGAAACAATATTAGAATTGTTGGACTCAACACGTCAGAAAACAAAAGCTGCATGGAGCAAGCTAGCAAAATTGTGGATGCAGTAGGTGTTCAATGTAAACGTGAATGGGCGCACCGCAATGGGAAAGTTGTCTTGGGTAAAATATATATCGACTACCAAATTAAACGTAGATTATTTACGATTATTTATTTATATCTCAGGATTTAAGTATGAAAGGAAATTTATACCACAGCTTCAGTGTAGGCCTACTAAGCTGTACAGTAAAAGACTTGCTATTGAAATTACTAGACTGGGAATGTTGTCTAACCATCTCTGCGTTTTGTACCATCCAAATGTAATTTGGTACCGTTGTTACTGCTATACGTCACCACAAATTCAGCTGCATAGAGGTTCACAGTGAACAGATGTTATTGATATGTTCACAGTACTTTACTGGTCATCTTTAAGGATCGTGAACGTATAAAAATAGATCTTCAAGCAGTTCCTTTGCTGGGAATATTATATTTCATGAATCTGTACCTTTTTGGATACTAATAATTGAAAAAGCATGTTGCTAATCTGAAACAAATATTTGCACTGTCTTAGTATACCCCTGATACAAATTTTTATTGTTGTAGCTCTTTGGGATGTTAATTTTTAAAATGAATATGTTGGTTATAGTAATAAAAAATATTATTTTTAATAAAATTGTCCCCAGAGGACATTTTATAACTCAAACATGGAACTGTACAAGCTACCACTGGAAAAATAATTCTAAGGGATTATTTCATTCAACTTGGCTTCATACTATATCTGTATCTCAATTAGTAAAGCAACCAATCAGAATTCATGTAGGCAGTCTCAAGTTAGAATTCTGAGGCAAACAATATTTTTCTGTATAAAAAAAAAAAATTCTATCAGAGTATGGAAGTGTTTGCCAGTAATTATGATTTATTACCAATGTTATTTGTATGCAAGACCAATATTACATTAGTTAACTGAATGCCTTAATGTACATTAATGTGACTGTGAGTGTTGATTACAGCTACAGTTGTTGGTGGTTATGATATTGTTGATAGTAATGATGCTGATGATGTTTGATGATAATGACTCAGAAATCCCACTTTCTAGGCTTTCATCCATGTCATTCTTAGAGACAAGCTCAATATGTGAGTGATGATATCACTATTACAGTGTACTGTTGTGACTTACTGTAGTGCTAACTTTTTGTATTTAATAACTCGCAGGCACATCTAATAATGTACAGTACCTGTACTATTGAAGCCTGTTCTTTAATTAAGTTGTTATACATTATGAGAATTAAAAGGATGATTAATTATATTTTGGCACATACAGTCTTAAGTTGTGTGTCATGTTCTTAAAGTACTTGTACTTAGCAAGTTGTGAATAAATACTAAAACTAAGTACTTTGTAATGCACACAGAAAATAATATTTGCATTTGTGCATCTTTTTTTTTGCAATTTCATTTTATTCTGTGACCTTATAATACAGTATAGCAAAATTGAACAGAATAACAGTATATTCAAAAATTAATAAGGAAAACATTTTAACTTTACCAAGAAAAGATCCCCAAACGTAACCTTACAAATACAGTATATGAAAATTGTACCAGATCAACATTATTTCAAAATTAAAAAGGAAACGAACAGTTTTAACTTTACTGAGAAAAGATCCTAAAAATTTAACTTCTCATTCAAAGTTAGGTTTTTTTTAAAAAAAAACATTGCATCTATACAGAAGCTAAAAGACCCAACATATTCATGTATGGATTAATGAAGTGAAGGTTCATCTAATGCACTGCAATTTGAGCGATATTTTAAGTGTGCCTGCTTGGAGCTATAATAATGCTAATTCAGAAATACTATTTTGACATGTTGCTCACATATTTCAAGAATTAACAATAATTAACAGATAATGAGAAGAACCTTAAAAGTTACATAATGAAGTTATAATTCCAATGTCTTGGTTGGTTGACTCAATGTAATGAACCAAAATTAAGTATATTTTAAAATGCCTTTGGGCATTTGGTCCATGATTGAGAGGTTTAATAAGTTACACTTTGTCTACTTTTTAAACTTTATTGTAAGTAGATTACTTGGTTTGATTTTTTTAAAATATTAAAAATATTACTTGGTGGTGGACCTTTTAGAAGGTACTATACATTCTAATGACACGCATGACTGTATTTTGAATAGTTAACCTTGTTGATAGTCTTTAGTGGTCGATATTTAAACTCATTTATAACTATTTTAATAAAACTGCAAAAACATATTTTGTAGTAGGAAAACCTCATTCATTTCAGGGTTGTTTTTTTTTCCCATAAATTTTTCAGATTACATGGACCAAGATTTGATTGAGAGAGCCAATAAGGAGCGAGCAGAGATTGTTCAAAAATATGAAAAAGTAAGTAAAACATGGTATTTTATCCAATTGACAGACAAGGAATGTTACAAAATAATATTTCAAATTATATCATTTTAATTTGTCAAGCAACACTTCACTTTCTTTGATGTTAATGTACATCAAAGTACATTATTTCTGGTCTAGTATTCACTATAATATTGTCATTACGGTTTTATTAATGATAATGTTTAGTAATTAATCTTGCTTGAAACCATCATTCACAATAGATATTGCACATCTGTAAGAATAGAATTAGTTTGGTATAGCCACGACAAGCCATACAAAAATTATACCAGGACAGAGCATTAAGAAAACAAAAAAATCCTTGAATTTTAAGCCTACTAGTTACCATATTACCTACCAAAATGAATAGATTGGATAATGGTTAGCAATCAACTGTTAAAGTGCGGCCTGCAGTTAAAAAAGAAAAATAATCGCCGACCGGCCATCACAGATTTTCAAACTAATGAATTAATGTACAGTATTTCCTGTACTTTGTCAAAAAAAAGAAGGGTTTTCAGAGGATGGCTCCTTACAACAAACTGTTATTTTCAATTCGTTGTATTGTTTGTACTGTAGGCTTTAGAATATATGGTGTAGTTTCTGTTCGTGTTTTATTTGAGTAGGTCCACAATGCAATAAAGGCTAACTAAAAAAACTAACTAAAAAGCTTTCTAGGATTACAGTCAGAAGTATGTTTGATGTAGGAAAGAATGTATAATTCTACAACAGATTGCGATACGCATTTTGTTATCAACAATGGGGCCAACAAACCCACATTTATAGCACTAGATCAACCTTTGTTCTTCTGTGTATGCCTACACACTTGGGTGCACGCAGTACTACTCCTACAGTGTTGGGCGAGTCCCAAATACCAGGCTAAAAAACAGAATCCATCCTACTGTATGCTGTACATTAAAAAGTAAACATAAATGTTGTTTTTTTATTAATAGTATAATTCATCGTTGTTTCCACGAACCGGCAAATCGCGATTGAAATTTTTGCGCTTTTTTTTGCAAATTTCTGACAAGAAAAAAATAATCATAGCAGAATTCTTTTTATATATATTATGTAAAATATATTAATAAATTGTAGTTGTTATGTTGTTATTATTCCCATTTAATTATTAATTAGCTAATTAAGATGTTCGTGGGAACATTACTTATGACATTATTGGCAGTGTATGCGGTTTTCGACGGATATTCGTCACTTTTTGAGAACAATATTACACTGTGCTGCTATCAATACGCGGTATTTGCTGTTGTCGCATTTGTATTTGCATATTATACACAAACCCACATATTGGTGGTGTTTTACTGTAGTTTAATTAAGAGCATGAGGCCACTATTGTTAAATACCTAAAAACATAGAAAACATGAATTATGTGGATAAATATAATCCTATAATTTACAATAAAATTTATTTAAAAAACGGTGTAAATCAGATAAATGTTTAATTAAAAAACAAGTTTTATATGGACATAATTATGTTGATTTTGATAATGCTGTTATTATAATATTAACATTTCTGTTAATTTTGTTTATAAGTTAATCAATAATAGATCACATTAAAAATTTCTGTTATCTAACTCTTAATTTTTGTGTGTTTCATTCAAATTGTATCATTAATAAAGCTATCATAAATTGGCCTATTAAAGTAGATTAGGCCTAGTGTTTGTTATTAGGGCCTGGCGTATATATAGGTAGGAGGCGTGTAATGGGGAGCTGGTAGGGTGGCGCAAATTTGAAGTTGTACATTAAGTGGGTAATCGATGACTAGTAAAGGGATAATAAGCTCGCAAAATAAGGTGATTTTATCTAATTTGATTTTGTTTGGTTTCGAATATTTACAATGGTGGGGGAGGAGAAGACTGAGGTGAGCGTGTATTGTTAAGGGTGAATGGAGTTCCGCAGCCCCTAGATACGCCAGTGGCCTATTGTATGATGTTCAGATACTGCTAAAATCATAATGTTGGCCTGCTATCAGGTTGGCAATTAATATTTTATTTGTTGGCCTATAGGATATCTTCCACCACTTGCCGACGGTCTAGGCCTATATTGTTCTGATATTTCTTTCATTTTTTTCTTCACATGTTAGGAGCTTTGCTAACCATTGTCTTATTAACTGCAATTGACCGAATCCATCATAATCTAAATTGTTTGATTTTAGATTTTTCTAGCTCTTGTTTCTCATAGCTCATAGGTCTATAAATTGTGCTGTTTGAAGTATTTGCTACTGTATTTACTGTAGTTGAGGCATTGACCGCTGCTCAGTGGTATTCGCCACTTCGTGTGCCATATAATCCTAAAGTAATCTTTATTCCCCATATGATTAGTTAGTGTAATTAGTTAATTAATTATGATACGAATTTGACATTGGGACAAAATGTTCTTTGGAATGTATTGTATGTTATTGAAATCTGAAATAAAAATTTTGGTGCCAAAATCGCGATTCGCCAGTTCCTGGGAACAGCCAAAAATTGATAGTTGCTGTAGTTGGTAATTGACAATTTACTGAATTTAATTCATATAATTTTTAGATTAAAAACGTGTTTATACAAAAATAATATACAAAAATAATAAAATAAATGGAAGATGTTTGTTTCTAATCGATCAGAACCCTACCAACCTCCAACCGACCAAAATATTAATTAGAAAGGCTCCTTTTTTTTCTCATCTTCTGATTAAATTGTTTAAAGTGGTGTCAGAAGTTTATATCTTATGATCCTTTTAACTAAAATATATATTAAAAAATCAATAACCAATTTTGTCACATTGCTAATAATAGAAAAGTTAGTTTTCCTGTCCATAACCTTATATGAATAGAGCTTCCGGAAAATGGTTGCAATATGTGTAATAATATTTGTGGTTTAAATTCCCTGTGGTTAAATGGAAGATCAATTATTCATTGGTGATTGAATATAAATCTGTGTTGTTGAAGCAAAATAGTAGCTAGTATCCAAACACTAGAACATGATTTCCGATCAAGATAATAGAATTCACTTTCAGTCAAAGAATCTGGTAGGTGTATTTTTGGTAGATTTTTGAATTTATTTTTTTTTGCAATTGTAAGTCTGTGGATTTATGGAACTGATGTTTTGTTATATAAATAATATTTTTACACAATCTGTGTCATCTGCTAATGGTCGTTAGCTGTATAAATGTAATGTTTACAGTTACCACTTGTCAACAAATGGTGGGTAAGCAACTGCCTGCCTTGTCCTGTACGGTCCATGCAAGCAAAACTATAGCCTACAAACATCAGTGACACGTTTGTTTGACCTCTTTGCACTAATGAAAAATTAATGCACAGATTTGGATTTGAAAAAAATGTTGAAGTTCAAATAATGATGTCACAACTTATTAAAATTAAGTTCAGGTACATTGAGGTTAAGGCATTAGTATGCAGTACTTAACAAGTCTCCAACATACATCTCTTAACGAGTTATTCTATTAGTAGTTCAGTAATCAGCATAATGCATTAAATATACAATGTTAAATGCTAAATTGACAGTCTACTTGTTCACCTTGGATGCTAGTGCCAAGTGTGACAGCTCACCCTCTCAACTCAAGTATCCTTACATCATATCTGCATTGTAGAATTTCCAAGCTTGAGATGAAATGAAGAAGTAGGTTATAGTATGTGTAGACCTGTACCTTAGATGACATCACACCTAGTAGATATATGATTGGCCAACTGATGATGAAGATGATTTGATTTCCTTCATTATATTAGCATATTATATGTTGCTTGAATGGTCTCAGGTATACAAACAGGTAGCCAATGTGTTTAGAGAAGCAATTTAATATGGTAAATATTGTTCTAATATACTGTGTTTTTTTATATCAAATGGTAAAATATGATTATAACTGTAAATTGTTTTGAGTGAAATATTTTTTTTCCTAAAAATTGTACTAGTATTTTCTACATTTTTTTTTTTTTTTTTTTGTGAAATAGGACATGTCGCTAATGCTACAAAAATAAAATATATTCAGAAGGCAATTAGACCAAACTATAAAATTTTTATTCCTCATAAAAAGTGAAGAGGATTTTGGTTTGTGAGCGAATCGCATGGTGGCTGCCAAGTCTGTAACTTATTGCAGCTACTTACTGGTACTGCTAGTAGAATTATTGAATATCATGATTTAAAAAAAATGAATTAACTTCCTGTACACCAGTGTTTTACAGCATAGTTTTGAAAAGAGCCTTGAGAATGTACAGTACAGTAGGTTCTTCACTGAGCCATAGTTTGGTGCAGGAATATTAGTTTAATTATTTGCTTGCTGTTGTTACAGAATGTGTTGTTAAATTCATTAATATAATTAATTGCTGCGAAGCAGCCAATTCATATTCTTGACAGCAATTTGACCTCTGAAAGGTCATTGTTTGTCAAAAATCAATCGTCTGAGACAACTGAAAAGCAGAGTTTCCTTCTTTCGTTCTGCCGGGTAAAATCAATTACTTTAGGCGACGTTTGTAGACTAACCTACTCGTACCAACGTCGGCATGTCGCGACGCTGGAGTACTATTCAGCGTTTTTACTATATTTCTAGGTTTCCTATATTATTAGAACAGCGTCGGTACAATAGTGTTTTGCTGCAGTGACATCTCTCTGCTGGCGATGGCTCGCTGCTGCTGGCGATGACTCGCTGCTGGCGAATCGATCTGCGCATGTGTATCAAATGGTATTTATTTCCGCAAACACTATGCCAGTCTACAACAAGCGTCGCCTAAATGTAATAATTAGCACGTTGAAATAGGCTAGTAAATAAGTTTATCTGGGTTCGTAAATAATATTGTCCTCAAAATATTGTGGCTGAGACATGAGCCGATTAAACGTAGAAATATAGACAATGGGTCGTGCTGGGTTTGTTATATTTTTATTATTCATTATTTTCACTTGACTCGCATAAATAATTTTGTTCGAAGAACATTTTATGCAGTTGTACTTCGCAGCACTTCACTTGCAATTTGCAATTTCTAGTTAATAGTTATTATACAGTACACATTAACACCGCCCACCAAACAAGGAGATGTCCATGTTTGGTAACGCAACGCTTGACCGCTAAACACGGAGATCTCCGTGTTTCAGATTTTTTTACGTAATCCAATAGATGGGGTAATTACAAACATGTACTAACAATTTAAACACTATATTCAGTCTGGACCGTAAGTATTTCACTATTTGTTTGTTTACATTAGCGTAGAGCGGTATTACTTTACTTTCACGAAATCGCGATTTTCTTAACTTCAATGTGCGAAATTGCGTAAATATCTAAAAGTGTGTCATTTTCATTTTACTGTTACAGGTCAGAGATTGTGATTAGAATAAAGTGTTTGGTACCATTGTAAAGCTAAAATGTTGTTAGTTCTTGGAGTATTCACTACATGTCAATCTGATCACATACTTACTCTCAACAAGCTTTGGCAAAGTGTTAAAATTTGCTAAAAAGTCTGGCGGTTGCTGGTACTATTTTTTTAAACCCCTGGTGGTCAGAGTGTTAACAATATTAATAGAAATGTAATAAATAATGTTTTTTGTTGGTTTTCATATGTACCCAATGGTTAATGTATGGTGTTATTTAAAAAAAAAATTATTATTGTATTTAACTTGCATAATTATTTTTTTTTGTTTTTAAGGGCTTTGATGAGACTGCAGAAAGCGATGCATGGGAAGACTCCGGCTTCATCATCTATAAAGTGACGGACAGGTTCGGCTTCCTCCAGTAAGTAGGTCTAAGCCCTGCAGCATCCAGGGATGTTTTGTCCTCGCAGCACCAATATGTTTGATTGCCAAGTGTGTCCTCGTTTACTCTCTTTCTCTCTCTCATGTGTAGTACTATAAACATTCTCAATTTTTCTAATAATCACGTCTCAATCTACAAACAGTATTTAACATAAAAATGATTGTTATTCTTACCGATTTACTGTGTCATACATACATGCTCACAACCACAACAATACATACCTGCATACACACACATACGTAAATATACATACCAAGACGTGGGGAAGGGAGATTGAGAAGAGATCTGTCAATGAGGCGCATTTCAAATACTCAAAATGTCCCATGGCGTAACTGTGTCCCCATAAGCACGTGATAGTGTTTTACACAGAATATATGTCACATTCATGAAATATGGAACAGTATACTGTACCCTCATACATTTTGTGTACATATTCAATTCATACAGTAAATATACATAGATTTTTTTTCAAGAACATAAATTACCATAATTTAGCCAATTCATTATTGTGATTTATTCATCAAATAAAATAAAATTGTGAAAAATTTGTTTTTCGTATTTTGATTAACCCTAGTGTAAAACAATTAATTTGAAATACATCTGTAACACAATGTACGCATTATGTTGTTTTACATGACATAAATTATGGTGCCTGTATATTACTGCCAATAGCAATCATATCCGTGTCAATATTAGTAATTGAATAAACAATCAGAAAGGTTTTTGAAACAGCCATACAAAAGGAGTATGTTTACCATTTTTGGATATATACATAATATGACAATATTCAAATTATTCTGCGCTTTGTTCTTTTTTTACAAGGAAATTTCAAAATACATTAATATGCTATACCTAATATTATGGCATTATTCCACATATTCCATGCTACAATGTTTCCCACTATTATGATTAATTCATACATTAACTGGTAGGTTATTTCATTCTAATTAACAGGAGTCATATTTCATGAAATGTACAATGTGATTATTAAGTTATGATAATGATAAAATATTCATAATTATGCAATCTTGTACTTTGTTGTATACAAATTATGCAAATAAAAAAACTTGGATATTTAATAATATATAAGTATATAGTATAATTTTATATGAAATAATTATATTATGAATAAAATAATACCGTTCAAATGCATTGGTAAAATTGTTTTTCGCATTTATTTCACACTATGACAATGTGAGTAAATACAATATTAATACAATATCATGAGGCATTTCTGAATATGTAATCTAAATATATGAAATTATTATTTCAATTCATAATTATAATTGCCAAATAAGTAACTTTTTTAATTAATTAATAAAATCAGATTTATAGTGCACATACATACTGTATCTAGTTATAATTAATGCTCAGGATGATGTTAAAGTCTTGTATTATAATTTGTAGATACTGTAAGCCAATTCTTATCCAAGTATAATTAGGAGAAAATTCCATGATATCCAAAAAGCATTTAGACATTAAGAGATTATACAATTGATCACTGTGCAATTAGACATGGGTAATTAAATTAAGTCATTGATAATCGGGCACGGCTTTGCTACTGTGTCTTTGTATTCAGGCAATTTCACGATGCATATTAAATCTAAAAATATGTCAACATTATTTATATAATAGTGTATTATATATTCTTGTTGTCATGACTGCCATAAAATTTAATTGTCTTAGTATATGAACCAGAAACATATTTAATATAGTGTATTTTAAGAACTGCTTATAAAGATGTACAGATTTTTCTGGTAGATTGTTTATAAAATATAATGCAATATTATCTTCCTTCTGTGGTGTATACTTAACATAATGCTGTTTTTAGATATATATTATATAATTATACAGTTTTAATTTCAAAACATATCTGAAAATGAAGCTTTTTTTTGTGAATAGAATATTATTTAACAATTTTTTGTGTGTTTTTCCTACCACAGTAAAGAATTTATTCCGGAAACTCTATCAGAAGAGGAAAAAAGGGTAAATTTGTGAACAACATGATTAAATATATTTATGGCTCTTGTTTTTTTAGTCATTGTCTGGTGTATTGTAGTTTCTGCAAATTTTAATATGTTTACCGGTACTTAAATTTAATTAGAATTTGTTGTGATGAAACTTTGTTTGAAAATGTGTTGTTTCTTAAATGTGTACAAAGAGAAAACAAAGGAAAAAAATGAAGAAAAGGAAAAAAATGGATAAAGAAATAGCTAAATAAAAGAAATAGGTATAAAGAGAAGAATGAATAAAATGTTAGAAGTAGAAAACAGGATGAAAAGAAGGAAGTTGAAAATTATACCAGAATTTGTTTCCATTTATTTTTAAATGAAAGATGAAGAAAGGTCAGAATGAGGTAACGAGGAATTATTAAAACTATTTATCTTATCGGCAATGAAAAATTTTATCCCGCTAGGCAAAATTAACAGAAATAGACCGTCGTGACAAGTGGATGAAAATGATAAAGCAATGGAAGAAGTATTGCCCAAGTGAAAAGGTAAACAAACACAAGTAAAATGATTTTTTTTAAAATTAAACACATTTTTCATATAGTTGAACATCATTCAGCAATCAAGAAAAATTTCATATAATATAATATAATTCATATTGGTGACGTTGACAGAAAAAGTATCTTGTACCTTGTGCCTTGGGTTTCTGCATCACTGTAATAGCCTGTATATTTATCAACCATACATTGTTTTTATCTGATTTTTATCTACAAAAATTTACCATCATAACAATTGCAGAGCCATTAAAATATTTTTTTGAAAAAACCCCCAAAGATTGGCTTGAATTAGCATGCAGTGTTATCTAAATATTTTTCTGCACAGTGCCTTTTAAGACTAGTTCATAATTTGCTTTTCATTCTATTTATGCATGTAACATTTTTAATAATTTTCAAATTCTGTTTTTTTACGTATTCTACATTTCTATTTCAAAATATTTAATTTAAGATTAAGATGAACATACAGCACATTAAAATATTCCAAATTAAATTTTTTTTCACTAATTCTTAATTTCCATTTTTCAAATTTATTTCAATTAAATTTAGATGCTATTTCTATTAAGTCAGACATGTGTTTATACTTTCAGAAGTCTGCAAGGAAATTCAAAATTATAAAAAAATTATTTGAATGTTATTTTTATAAATGTTAAAATTATTTTACCTTATATTGAATTAAAGTTTTATTTTTATGAATTATTTCAATGTTATGGATGATTATTTTAACTTTTTTTTAATTGTGTCATATGTTTTTATTTGACAAGACAAGTCTTAAATGACATCCCAAAACATTTTGCAGAATTTTTGAATGTTATTTATTAAGATATTATGATTATTTTAACTTTCAAAAACTGTATCATATGTTTGCAGTTGACACGACGTGTTTATAAGGGGATTCCAGATTCATTACGAGGAAATATTTGGATAAGGCTTTTGGACATTAATAAAATCAAACAAGAACAGCCTAATATCTATGAGGTATGTTTTCTGCTGACCACAGCACTTAACACTTGATTAACTACAACAGTGACCATGAATTTCATTTGACAGATTTACTTTATGTCCACAAACATTGATTCCTAGAGGGGTAGTCACATATTTTAGTGGGAATGTTCCACATTTAAAGGGACAGTCCCATTTGTTAAACAGATTGCTCTGTGTGACATCATGTCAAAGGGATGGTCCCATGTTTTATAATAGCGAAAGTCCCATATTATGACGTCATCATATCTTGGATGAGACACTTCAACACTTACCCCGGTATTCTTAAAACGAACTTTAGTCGTAGTTCGAGCTAAAACTTTAAAATTACGTCATTTCGTATTCTTGAAACAAACTTCGACTAGCACTACGACTAAATGACGTGAACCTCGACTAAAATGATAACTCCGCAGGCCGATTTTTTTAGTCAGCCTAGGGTCAGGCTAAATCGCCGACTTGAAATATTTACCCCACTAAAAACGTGTTTTTTGTAACTCACGATAAAGTGAAACAAATAAAAACGATTGTATACGCAGGTTTGATATATCTTCGGTGTGTTAAACAAAAGAGACATCAAGTTTAGCTTCCAGGAGGAGAAATTAACATGTTTTGCTAACCACATGCGATAGTTCCTGATTTGCACGAAATCCTCTCGCCTTGCGATCACGTAGTTTCACAATAACAACAACAAAGATGGCGCCGCCCTCGCTCGGGCTCAACTATAATAGTTCTCCAAAGAAAGCAAATTTTCAGTGTCTGTTCAAATTCTCTATTGTAATATGTTAACAACTAATATAGTTATTATTATAGAAAATTAATTAAGGGAATGATGGTCTATTATGAATTATGAGGAAATACGTTTTTGAACCACAGACGGCAGCTTAATATTCATCCGCATTACCGGATCTCTAAAATTTCGTCTGCTATTAAAGTTTGCCCTTTTCATTGGTTAGTTTGATAGTCGTGGCTTGCCAGTCATCTTCCTAGGACTTGATTTAGTCGTAGTTAAAACTTCGACTACATTGTTTGTGAATACAAATTGAAGTTAAAGATGCAACTAGCACTAAATGAAGTTCTAGATCGAAGTTCGACTAAAGTTTGTTTTAAGAATACGGGCATTAGTGCTTTTTTGTAGATTATTTATTTGCTTAACTGTATCTTGCATTTTTTTCTTCTAATGTTTTTTACTGTATGTGGAAAAATCTGATATAAAGTAAATTGAAATTGAATATATTAAAAGGACAGTCCTGTGTTATCTTGTTAAAGGGACAATCCCACATGTTCTTAAACAATAACATACTCATATATGTCTAGTGCTTTTCAACAATAAACATTAATTTGTCCAGATGAGGCTGCATACACTAAATCATAACCAATGACAGTAGTGAACTCTACTCTGGCTGATTGTAGCATCTCATAGGTTCTTGAAATACAAGACAAGTGCATAGCTTTTCCTAAATCACCACTTCAAACAAACATTGAATATACAGTTGAATTACATTAACTTAGTATACATTGCCATAAAGATCACTATCAATAATAATATGTCAGTTCGTTAGTATGGTTTGGACTTCCCTCTTCCATATTTATAAAATTGGAATCTATGCATACTAAATGATACTATGATAGATATATCTGTTCAGAATAAATAAATCCTTGTAGAGCCGCTATGGCCATAGGACTGGAGCTGATCTCCAGTTTCAAGTAGCGTGAAGCAGATGAGAGAGTGATGCTCCTCCTGTGTGGGATGCTAGTCCACCATAGGTTACTCCCAGTAATTTGCTGGTACACATTGATACAGCTGGTAGACTGAAGCAATGTAGATAAAGTGGCTTGCTCAAGGACTCAAGTGAAATGCACAACAAAGGATTGAAACCCCGACCTTGGGGTTGGGAAACCATAACCGTTTCCACTGCGCCAAACCGCCTCTACATTTGTTCAGAATAATAAAGTATGATGATAATAGTAAAAGTGACCTATATATTCTATATTTATTATTGTCACAATCCAGTTTTATAAAAGGGTTTATACCATTGATTTATTTCCTGAACAATATGTTATTGATCAGCTTGATGAAGTGTTGTTGATTAGTATCGGTCGGTCCCTTTTGATTCTACCTGGAATTTTATAGCCCAACTAGACAATAATGTAGGTTTGATGTATATCCATTGGCCTTTTTAAGTTTATTTAAACTTTGTTGCTATAGTAATAAAGATCAAATCAATCAATCATAATAAACACCTGCTATATAATATCTCTATTAAATATAATGCTGTGAAATGTTTGAGCTGCAGTGGTCCTTAATCATTAGTATTAATTTGATTTAGTTTTTGAAGTGTCTTGTGTGGTTCCTTTATTTAGTTTAATTCTGGAAACTCTTTCCAACATAATCTATACCACTGACCTAAAGATTTTCTATATTGTGTTTACATTATACTTGCTCCATTGTTTATATAGCAAGTATACTTTGATGATCCCATACAAACTTTCATGAGGCCAGGTAGCTTTTTGAAAGTCCTATACTCAACATATTCACTCCAGGCATGAGACTCGCACCAGACTTAAGTCACGCCTGACATGATTCTACCATGACCATAACCTATTAGGCTTTGAATTGCAAATGTTCTTCCTGATCACATTTATTTATATCATCCTTCACTTGTATCAAATTACATTAACAACCTTTAGTGAGGTCATGAAACCTCTGCCTGTACAAATAGAAATGCATAACCCTTTCATATTCAAATTTTAAGTTGTTTATTTTAAATACATTTTCCTTTCTCAGATAGGTCCTTTCTCTAATTTTTTTTTTCTCTCTAATTTTTCCTTCCTCCTGCATAGAATATATTTCCTGTGGATTGAATTGAAATTGTTAAACAAGTGGTTCACTGTTATATTAAGTAGTGCTACTATATGCATACAAAAGAGCAGGAAAACTTGAATAAAATTCTCAACAGAGGGCCAGTGCCACTGTTGGTTATGTCGTTTTCTTGTAAAACAAGAGACTAGGTTTCGCATCTACATTAGGTTGGAAAATCTTTTACTGCCGCAGATTCCACTTTGTAATCTACAGTACAATATATCATACATTTACTGTATTAAAGTAGTTAGAGTTTATCCCTTTACATGTACCTCTGTATAGTTTAAGTAAAGGAATTAAGACATTTGTTAAAGCCATGTTCCAAAAAAAAAAAAAATGTTGATACTGTATGTTGTATCTGATTTTTGTAATGTAATGTAATGTATAGGTTGTTTGACGTAAACATGGAAATGGTTAATAAGATACAGATTTTTTAATATAAAAAAACTGTGGGAAAAGGGTGGTTACGCCCCTTTTTTTCCCCTGTTTTTAAAATTCCAAAAATGTATCTCATTAAAGCGTTCCCAAGTTTTTCATCAAACACCGTCTTTGTGTCGTAGAAAATCTGTTGTACAACATATCAAAAATGTTTTTTACGGAGCCTGGCTATATAAAGCAGATTTGATTGGCAGATTTTTAGATTTGACTTTTGAATTTTGAAGTACATTATTATTATATTGCTCAGGTCCAGCTATCCTATATTCAATAGTGCTTACAGTACAAATAAACTGCAAGAAAGGCAATTCACGGTAACATTCTTGGTAATTTGCGTTGTGAGGTTCTTGGGACACATATTAAAAAGCTTTAATTGAAAATGTATGATCAGTTAAAAAATTCTTTTGAAAAGAAAACGCGATTCTGAGAATTACTATTTTAATTGAATCTATTTTAACATCTCTACATTTAGCTGACCAAACTCCATTTAAAAAGCCTCATGATATAGTCTAGTTGATATTAAAAGTTTGTTTTTATTATAACGCCAATGAATTGACATTTTTGTGTTAAATGAAAAAAAAAGAAATTAGTAGTCTCAGAAGAGAAGAAAAAGCAGCTTTTGTTGTTTTGAACTCAACTCAAACTCAAATTCTTTGTCTACTTTGTTATGTAAACAAGGAAATGGATTTTTGTTTCATCCTAGAACTGGCAAGAAGGAAACTGTTTCCACAATGACTGTAAAATTAAATCCATAGATAGAAATATTTTCCTATAATTTTTGATAATGCAAGAACATGCTTTGAATTGAAAATGCAAAAACAACATCGAGCTTAATTGTGTAGTAATAAAGGTCAGCATATAATGTTGAATACTCTAGTACTTCTTAAATACCTTATATTCTGGTGTATAAGCCGCACATTTTATACGCGATTTTCCCCCCGAAGTTTGGGGTGAGGCCTATACACCGATCATTAACCTACTCCCAAAAAGTTCAGATCGCGAGCCTCTGCAAAAATCAGGCGCCGTCTGTCTAGCTTGGGCCCATGCCAGCCCAATTAATTAGACTAAGGTAAGACCGGTTTGAAGCCCTAGTGTTTGTAATACTTTATTTTTAGCATTTAGTAATTTTGCTTTTTCTTTGTTTTACTGATTTTTCCATGTAGTTTGTATTAAGCGTAGATATGGTAAACGCACCCACCATATTTGTGGGTGCTGTTGATACCAAGGCATATGTTTAAATGAATAAACAAGTAAATGTAAAATAATTGACATAGAATATTAATTTATGAATTATTTATATGTGTTTCCCTTTGGGTATGAGAGATATTAAACTTTTAATTTATTATTATTTAAACATGAAAGGTCAAGATTAACAGTTGAACTTTCGTAAGATCTTATACAATTAAAAATCATTGTTACTATGCACAGATTAATCAATCTTTGTTTTGCATTGTAGGCATGAAATGCTCGCTAGATGTACTTTCCATTCGACTTTGCTTTAGTTAAGCTGTGGTGGCTGTTCCATCAAATGGCATTTCCCTGAAGCCATTAAGTGATTATGCAAATTGTATTTGATGACATCATCCTAATGACTTCCTATTATATCATAATCATTGTCAGGAAATTACCATTATTCCTGGAGGATGTTAAGGTTCCATGGGGAATCTTGAGGATATATATTAGGAGTATGGTAATGTGTAAAAATAGATAAATTACAGTATGCTAGCAACCATAGTGTGAAGCTGGACATATTTTTAAACTATGAAGTCTAAAGCCCCGTCCAGACTATCAAATTTTATTGGACATACAGTATGTGACATGCCTGAATATTATGGCTATGATGACATCACATCATCACCATATATAGGCACATCATGACTATATATGGGCACATCATGACTATACTGCCGTAATTTGGAAAAAGGCATTAACTCCACTTTTTGAGATTTTTGGATTTTTGTTTCTATGGCATCCTATAGATGTAATCTATCATGTGAATTGATCATATACCCCCAAAAATGTCCAGAAATATGAAATAAATATTATATTTACGCATTAACTCCAATCCATGAATGCAGAATAATTTGGAAGAAGGCATTATCTCCACCAAACAGTGAACAGATCATAATGAACCAATCACAGAAGACAATTACTCATAGTTAATTAGTCATGATAGCTTGTAAATGCACATAATGCCTAGCTTTACTTCGGTTTAAAAAAATGGCATATTAAAAAATCTTCTACCACATGGACTAAATTTCGTGAAATATATAATTGACACTGGCATACATTAATTGTTTGTCAGAAATACTGTAATTTGGCTAGGTAAGATACACATTTCACTGGAAAAACTGGAGTTAATGCCTAACTTCAGATTTTTCACGCACCATTGACTCCTGTTAAAATTTGGAATAGTGCATTATCTCCATTTAAATAGGGTTAAAGAACAAAAATCACCATGAAAATTATTTAATATGTTTTTTAATTATATGTTTAGTATATTTGCCAAAAAAATTTACTAGAATTCATTTCCAGTACAAAAGGCTAACGACAAACGCGTTTTGCTCAATAACTCAAAACTAGGATTATATATAGCTTTAAATATGTTCGCTTAATTTCAGGATCATTACAAACAGTAAATAGAAAAATCACGAACACAGTCTATAACAGAAGAGAGTAGAAGATAGACTAGACCTGAATGATATATATATTTTTTGCGATATACTGTACCTTATTAATAAATAATTCTTAAATATTTAATAAGAAGTTTAAAGACATATTGTCCCTTGAAAATAACAAAAAATCCGTTGACATTGTTTTTTATATTTCAATTGGGACAATGCATCGTTAATAAAACTTTAAAATACCTTTTTGTAATTCTTCAAAGGGCCTTGAAAGGTTGACGAAAGAACGTTTTTGACATCATACGACATTGAGTTTGTATTACCATAGCTAACGACCATTAAGATGAGCAGAAAGAAGGAGTAGAAGCAAATTTCACGAAATATTGAGAACATCTTGATTTCTTTGAGACGTTGCTCTCGGGCCATTTGAAGATCCGCTGGGTTTGGTGGCTTATATGCTATCTTTCGACTTTTCGCTTCTATTGAAATTTAAATATTCAGATAATCATGAGATTCTCATAGTGATAACGCTAACACTACCACTACTACTACCTCTAATACTACTACTAATAATACTACTGCTACTTCTACTAGTACTGCTACTACTACTACTGCTGCTACTACCAGCCCAAATGCCATAGGTATTAAACTAAAACCAACGTAATTACTTTACTATTAATGCTTCAAGCTTATTCTTCAACTACAAAAACAACAAGTTTTTAGCACTACGATCTTGATGTAGCGGCGCTATATATTAGAAATAAACTTCATGTATGTAATGTAAGCACTTACCAACAGGGAAATGTAGCCATTCTTCATCAGATTTTAAATAAAATTCTTCTTCATCATCGTCCATATCTTCCTCTTGTTCGGCTCCTGGCGTTTTCATCACACAGGCAATAAAAACAGCTATGAGGACAACCTGGTGATTATCAAGATATGAAATGAAAATTACATATTATTTCTTTATTTCGAAACATGCATCATTTTATCTGTAGTAAAATGTGGAAAACACACTAAAAGTTCATTGAAATACTTAAAATTACTTAAATTTTATGGGACAAGAAAATGTGATTATATCCATATTTGGGTGTAATATGACATCGATTCATCATACCCATATATGGACACATCACATAAATTTATCACATAACATTTAATAGTGTGGACTGAACTTATGCTCTGTCTAGACTATCAATTTTCTTGACAAAAAACGGTTGTATGGCCATATATGGTCATGACGTGCCTATATATGGTCATGATATTATGACTTTATGACCATATTTAGGCATGTTACATGTTTGTGCATAGATCGAAACAAAATCATCAAATGATCAGCTTTGCTAGATAGGCTAAATTCCTTCAATATGATTTTAAATAAATTATATAAACAATGACCACTTGCAACCATTTGTGAGCTATTCATCAGACATATTCGAATGTTGAGTGATGTATGTTGGTGTAATATGTAACCTTTGTAAATATGACCAGTCCATCAAGTTCTAAGCCAATTAGAACGTGTAAACATTATGTCAAAGGTCACAACGGTCACTTGTGTTTCGTTATGTGAATGCATGTGGTAACTTCATTTGTGCAATTCTGTCAATTAAACGAAGTTGAATTGAATATATTGAATTTAGTTGTTAAAACATTGTAGAGATAATATATATAGAGTTAAACGTTATAGAGATAATAAATATAAAGTTAAACACAATTTCTGTAGATAAAAGAAATTGAATTGAAAATACTGAATTTAATAATTACAACATACACATAATAAATGCCTTATTTGTATTAGTACTAGATGTGTATAAGAGACAGGCCTAGTGCTGTGCACGTGGTTGCTGTTACACATACACGAACGCTAATTGGTTGGCTCGCCCAGTGCAGTGCACATGGTTTTAGTTTGTCCCAGCAGGCCCAGACAACACCACAGCTGTTATTTAGAATAGCCATGAAGGGGAATTTCCAAGTTATCTTTGTCATATAGGTAATCTTACAATATTTTCATGTTTTTTAGTTAAAAGATATAAAGTGATGAATTAATACACTAGCCTAGCCTAGGTAATCATTCGTTCATTGAGTGTTATGTACGTCTTAGGTCAAAGGTCACCAGAAATTTAACCCAACCTCAATTTTACGAATTCCCCGATTTACGTACATCCTCCAGTCCCGTACCGTACGTAAAATCGAGGTTCTACTGTAATTACAAATGGAACATTTTCTATTCTGTCTAAGTTATTAAATATTTATGATTTATTTCATTCAAAGATAATGACATTGAGTTGCGCTCAAGGTAATATTGTTTGATAGACCGTGTAGCTGAACAATACAACTGTTTATTTTAATTACATATCCAGTGGAAAAAGATATACTGTGTAAATCAATCTTGTTTCAGTCCAGTGATGCTGAGCTCACAATGGATGTTTTCATCATAGGAGTGATGTTTCACCCTACCTTTTCGCAAGTATTTGGGAACGTAATGTACTGAGTATTCTGTATGATAAAGGTAGGGCAAAACATCACTCCTATGATATTATGCTGACGCAAACTCACATCAAAATAGGTGTTGTAATCGTCGTTTGCGAAGGGGAACTAAGAAACTTATGACAACTGATTATAACTTTATTGTTAATGTACAACGATATAGTACAGGTGAAACAAAGATAAGGCACAGGTCATTTCTTTTATTAAATGAGGGAAATTTTAGTTTGTAGTTTAACATGTTGACTGGCAAAAGCCTTTTTTCCCAGTTTAATTAAGGCAAAGTGTGCCACCATCATTCCCATAAACTGTAATGGAACATGAACAAACGTACTGTATTTAATTTTAGGTCAATAACTCCGGGTTCTTCCCTGAACCTCCATGGGGTGAGGTCATGTTTTGGGGACCAGCGTGTTTACGTGCAGTACATTAGCGAATTTGTGTCACTGGCATCGAACGTGTTATCAGAGGTTGGGGTATTATATAATGCATAATAGTATCAATGAATGGAGCTGGTGGTGGCTAGATGAATCTTCTTCCTCATGACAATTTGATCAATTAAGGATCACTCAAGTGAAACAAATCTTGACATTCCATTGGAAACAGTTATAAATGAACTATTATTATTCAGGCAATCATAACAAATTCTACTTTCTGCTCAGTGGTCAAATGTAAGAACAAGTCAAAGAGCAACACAGCCATTGTGATACAAAATTGTATAGTATGGGTTGATCCCAAGTGCTGATGAATCTGACATTGTTTCTAAATGGTATAGAGAGGAGTGGGTATGAGGGAATCTAACATGTTGCTTTTAAATGTTTATGTAGGGAGGTTGAAGAGGAGATGGAATCTCATGTAAATATCACCATTGAAGCTAAAATCAATGGAGTATATTCATCCGCAATATTATATTATGACCTACTAGAATATTTTTTTAATTATTGCATTATTTACTGGACAAATGGCCAGATATATAGCATTTTGATGTCATCAACATCATTATCTTTATTGTTAATTTATTTGTTGTGAATTCTAATTTTTTTCTTTTGTAGAAAATGAAAAAGACTGCATTAATAATGTCTCCTGATATACGACAGATTGACCTTGATGTAAATCGGACATTTCGCAATCACATTATGTTCAGGGAAAGATACGGTATAAAGCAACAAGCCTTGTTTAATATTTTAGCAGCTTATTCTATGTACAACTCCGTAAGTAAATATTATACTTATTACTGATACAGCCTTATTTAATTTTTTTTTTTTTCATTTATATGGCATTTGTTACGAAGCACCTCACATTTTACAACAATAATCATTCATTGTAGTCATCATTTATTGTCATTATTGTTTATATGAATTTGTAACATGCTGGTACTTTTACTTTCCCTCACTAAACTTCAGGAGCGATTTATGGGGCCCTTTTCTGGCACAGCAACTACCCCTTCCCACACAAATTTTGAAAATAAAGTTTTTGGAAAAATTTACATCCAAATGTTTAGCCATCTAGAGATACCAACTGCAACAAATTTGGCCTCAAGCACAACCATGATGGGGCTGAGGCAGGCTGGGACCCTTCATTTGTGAAAGTCCCTCCTTTGGGAATTATTCAGGAATATAAACTCGCAGGATGAGATGTATGACCGTCTGAAAACGTCAACAGTCAGCACTTGAAAAAAACAGTCAGATATATCCCGTCTTAAATACTCATGTTTATTTCTAACATCATTAATAATCAAATATTCAAAGTGTATCTTGATGTAATTTGTTTTTATATATCGTAAGCTAGTGTGTGTTTGTTTGCTATTATATTTATGTTAATGTGCACAGAAAAACGCATCTTGTCGTAATATAATGCTTTATAACGTATAATGCCAGTGCTGGATACCCAGCCAATAAATCAAACATCTATGAAACTAGCGGACGTGCTCACATTCCTGGCAGAATATACCTTAGTTTACTAGCAGCTAGTAGTGATTAACACATTGGCATTAAACATACTAGGTACAGTAATATCGTAATACCTGAGTGAAAAGAGACATCTTGGACAAAGTAACATTACTAAGTGACTAGGTGAAGATTAGAACCCTTGGTTTTCTTTTGAAGCTGGATGCATACTGCAATGTCACTTGCTTTCACATTTCAAATGGATTATAATGATAATAATAGCTGCCTTGTTTTTGTATTTCACTTCAATTACAGAGCTCTGTACAAACCATTATTAAACAGCACTTTTAATCACTATTGATTAAAGCGGTTGGCTTATTTGTGAGAATATCTAATCATTGATGTTGTTTTGATGTTTTTTTCTTTAAAAATAGGAGGTTGGTTACTGCCAAGGCATGAGTCAAATTGCTGCACTACTTCTTATGTATATGAATGAGGATGATGCATTCTGGGCATTACATGTTTTACTTACGGATACAAAACATGCCATGCATGGTAAGATAGCATTCAGACACTTAGCCAACCAGATCTATTAGCACTGTAGAATAATTACCAGTATAGAATTTCCTATGACATAGTTCCTTATTATCTTAAAGAGTGAATTCAGTCTTGCATATATGAAAGCATTCTATAATATCTACAGTAAACAATTTCAGTAGAAGGGCTATCAAGTAGTCTGTAACATTTATTAGCTATGTAGGATCTGTCTCTTATACACATCTAGATGTGTATAAGAGACAGCCCCCAGTCTATTTGGCATCATTTTCTGTATCTTTCATCAATGTGACGTTAATGTACAAATGTGCTTTGATTAGTTAATTAAATGAACATCGTCGTGCTGCCTCATTTCCTAATGGGCTTAATGCTTTTTTTCATGCTAGTTTAATGTCATTTTAGTGAGGATGGTCCCAGTAGGAGAAGCTTTAAGGTATAGCATCATGGGCCTAGGGTACTTTGGTATAGCATGCATCACCCAAAGCCTTAGGTTCATGCTGAAGGAAATATGACTGATGCCTGATGGACACACACCAACCAATGGCGACACAGTATGAGCCAGACTTAAATGCTACCAAAAGCCTGCATCATTAACATGTCTCGTTATTATAACTATTCATTCTAATCTAAGAAAAACCTCTACAGTTGATCATCAGATGTCGTTTGTTTCTCCTTCCTATGTTTACCATCAAAATGAAATACTTTACCATCCGTTAAGTTGATTTTATAGAAAATAGAAATCATTATTAATATTAACTTCTTTTGACATTTTAAAAATGATGTATAGTTATCAGTGAACTACGAGCTTTCATTGAGACAGATGGCTGTAAACCCAGACAGATAATTTCTGTTGGAATGAAGTTATCTTTTGATTTCCTGACTCCATTTTTTTTTATTCAGGAATATAAACTCGCAGGATGAGATGTATGACCGTCTGAAAACGTCAACAGTCAGCACTTGAAAAAAACAGTCAGATATATCCCGTCTTAAATACTCATGTTTATTTCTAACATCATTAATAATCAAATATTCAAAGTGTATCTTGATGTAATTTGTTTTTATATATCGTAAGCTAGTGTGTGTTTGTTTGCTATTATATTTATGTTAATGTGCACAGAAAAACGCATCTTGTCGTAATATAATGCTTTATAACGTATAATGCCAGTGCTGGATACCCAGCCAATAAATCAAACATCTATGAAACTAGCGGACGTGCTCACATTCCTGGCAGAATATACCTTAGTTTAGTAGCAGCTAGTAGTGATTAACACATTGGCATTAAACATACTAGGTACAGTAATATCGTAATACCTGAGTGAAAAGAGACATCTTGGACAAAGTAACATTACTAAGTGACTAGGTGAAGATTAGAACCCTTGGTTTTCTTTTGAAGCTGGATGCATACTGCAATGTCACTTGCTTTCACATTTCAAATGGATTATAATGATAATAATAGCTGCCTTGTTTTTGTATTTCACTTCAATTACAGAGCTCTGTACAAACCATTATTAAACAGCACTTTTAATCACTATTGATTAAAGCGGTTGGCTTATTTGTGAGAATATCTAATCATTGATGTTGTTTTGATGTTTTTTTCTTTAAAAATAGGAGGTTGGTTACTGCCAAGGCATGAGTCAAATTGCTGCACTACTTCTTATGTATATGAATGAGGATGATGCATTCTGGGCATTACATGTTTTACTTACGGATACAAAACATGCCATGCATGGTAAGATAGCATTCAGACACTTAGCCAACCAGATCTATTAGCACTGTAGAATAATTACCAGTATAGAATTTCCTATGACATAGTTCCTTATTATCTTAAAGAGTGAATTCAGTCTTGCATATATGAAAGCATTCTATAATATCTACAGTAAACAATTTCAGTAGAAGGGCTATCAAGTAGTCTGTAACATTTATTAGCTATGTAGGATTGCATTTAAAATGTATTGAACGGGAAAATAATTTCAGTGGAATTATGAAAGAAATGTACCCTATAACATACAATATTGTGTTAATATGCAAGATGTAATATTCAATGTTGTACACATGAGAGCAGTGTAAGCAGTCATACATGATATAAATTATTGACAAGTACAATAGATTTATTTGATAAATTGAACTTTGACATAAGCTCTGTCCATATTATCAAAGTTTCTTTGACAAAAAACTTGTATGCCCATATATGTTCATGATGTGCCTATATATGGACATGATGTGCCTATATGGTCATGATGTGATGTCACATGTTTTTGTCAAATAAAATTTGATAGTGTGAACAGTTCTTTAGGTTGTTTACTGTTAGTCAAGGAGCACATGCATGCATAGTACAGTCAACTCTCCCAATACCGACCACCCCTTCAGACCGTCCACTTTGACCGGATTTCCGGATGGTCCGGTTTAGAGAACGTCATGTTTACCCACTTTGATTCCCTGGCCTTGAGTCAATTATAGACCTGCCAAGGTACAGACAGGTACAGCACACTGCATGTACTGTATACTGCCCTGAGAATGTCTAACATTACACACATGTGAAAAGATTGTTCATCAAATATTATTTTGTAGTCTTAATTTAGTAAGATGAATAAAGGAGAGCTAACATCCGTTGAATGTAAAATTACCAAATGTCACATGGAAAAACCCAATGGAAAGTAAAACTTGGCAAATTGCCAGTTCATCTTGTCAACCCCGAAAATCCAGCAGCGGCCGGCGTGCACGCCAATCAGAACACAGTAAAGTGTGTTAAACTTTAACCTAATGTTGAAAAGCTGTGGGCGACAGAGAATAAAAACGAAGGAATGCGGTCCAGCATGACTAGCCTTAATTCAGCAAGGTAGTGATTTCTATAGTTCCATTAGTATTGGATCGCTTTGCAGGTCCCTGCTTCAAATTATGGTAAACAAAACATGATCTTTATGTAGGAATAGTAATAATTCATGTCTGTGATGATTTATTTGAGGTATTTATCAATAAATCATTGTTTTAAACTGGGCGTCCAGTTTTCTGAAGGTGATTTTATTGTTCCGGACCGGAATTCAGAATTCTGAGATCCAGTTTTCAGGACGGATTTTAATACAGTAAGAATAGGAATGATTTCTGGGTGATCGGTATTTGAAGAGTTGATACTTACATAAGCGCCACACTGTAGCACCACACTGTTGCTACAGTGTTTTCAGTGCAATCGTTGCACTGCGTAGCAGTCCTCAACGCAATTGGGAAGACTCCCCGATTTGACCGACCATTCATCACCGAAAGCTGTTGTTAATACCGTTTAGCGATTGTGTGGAAACTGAGCTTAACTGTTTATATCTGATTATGTTCTTCCATGTTGTAGTGCACATGCATTTTTTGTACATTTATATTCACATGGATTATACCGATATTTTTTAACCTTTTTTTTTTTAAATAGGATTCTTTGTACCTGGATTTCCAAAACTAGTAAGGTTTCAGAGTCACCATGACAACCTTCTCAAGAAATTAATGCCAAAAGTTAAGAAGAATTTGGTACGTATAATGAAAAGAAAATTAATATTACCCATTTTTTATGCTAAACTTTTGAACCCATTAGTCCGATACATCTTGTTGTAGCTTGTTTTATTCCCTGTAAAGCCAATATGTATTAGCTACGCTTTAATGCATTAGAAATTTCAAATCTTTCTTTCAAAATTTATAATCGGATTAAATATCAGCTATTTATTAACATTTTCTTTGTTTTTCCTGCTTATTTTCCATCAGGATAAGTTAGATATTGGTCCTACATTGTACAGTATGAAGTGGTTCTTCCAATGTTTCCTGGATCGAGTTCCGTTTCCGTTGACATTGCGACTCTGGGATTGTTTTATGTTGGATGGTGACCGCGTCCTGACAGCAATGTCTTACACGTTAATGAAGATGCACAAAAGTTTGTATACTCTATATATTAAATTATTACAGAACATCTTACAAGCAGTAAACATTGGTAACATTTTAAAGTACATACAAATTCAAACAGGTAGAGAAGGATTATAAGAAGTCACCTTTTTAGTATGGTTTAAATAAGTACACCAACTTACTGACTGGTAGAATGTTTTAATATTTCTTAGTTTTTCCTACACACCTTTAACATTGTTAGTTTAATTGATTTTTTTCTGCCTTGTTATGTATAATTTTTATCTGTAATCTGGTTAAGATACTTGCCTATTAATCCGAGGGTCCTGAGTTCAATTCCTGTAACAGCAGGACTTTTCCCCACAACTAAAAACAACTGCACTCACTAAGCCTCATGTAGAGACTTTACTGATAAAAGCATCACATTATTTAATTTATTTAAGAGGACCCCTAAATATCAACTGACCTTTTATGATACACTGGAATGGTCACCATCTATGAAAATATGTATGTATAAAGTTTTTGTAAATACAGAATATATGTTTGAATGCAAATACTAAGACTGAATAAATAAAATTTTGAAATTTTATTTGGAATAGAATAACATTTGTTAAATGATAATGAGTATCATAATAGTATTGATAATGAAATGAATAGTTGTCATGTGTTGCTAATGGTCACCACTTTTGATTTTGAGAAATATTTTGTTCGTTTCCTAATCTAGAGGCAATGATGCGGAAAGAAATGGAAGATGTCGTTGGATACTTGCAAGAGGATCTTTCAAAAAATTTTGGTTTTCCAGACGATGTAGTAATAGATGCATTACAAGAGTGTATAGCAGGTTTGCTATAAACATTTGAGACTTGACATCCCAAAAACAGCATCAGTGACTTTTTATTATTTTCTTATTCACCATATTTATAAGTTTTAAATTGATGGGTCATTTACTGGAATTGACTTACTATTGCTAAAGTTATGAGTAAAAAGTATTATAGCTTCTTTGTACTAAAGTATACAATACTGCCACATTTTTATGCTAATTACTCAGTTTAATAATTAGGGACAGTAGGCTGGTTTTTGGGATGGTAAGCCTCATTTTTTATTTAGGAAATTATTTAACTCTGAAGTAATTTTTAATTCAACAATTTAACAAAAGATTTTTTGACAAAATAACTTTATAAGATACATAAAATTGGCATTTTTTTTTATTTGATACTTTAAATATCAAACAAAAAACATTCATTAGCATTTTTTTAAAATTTCCTTTTTTAAAAGAGCTCAAACGAACAAAGTTGATCAAGCCACCACCCCCGAAGACAGCAGAAGGTCCTAAGCTACCATTTGGGTTAATCAAAGTGCCAAGCCATCAGCAAGCCACAGGCCTACGAGGTGCAGTGATAGTGGATGGAGACCGCAGGCAGGTAGTGTACCCTGGTTCCAGTTGTAAGCATGCTGTGTTGTGAAAGCATACTACATCATAGTTCTACTAGAATTTTCATTCTGCACTCATTCCCTCTCATTTCATCCTGTTTCGAAATCTTGTAGCGTAGTACATTCCCTTTTTCAATTTCCTATTCATCTCATTCTAGTCATTCCACTTATTCCGGCTTTTCATTCCTCTCACATTTATTCCTGCCTTTTTTAAATATACCTGGTGTCTAGATTCTTTTCTTTTTTCCTGCATGTTCATAATGTCCAAATTTGTAGACTTTAGTATGATTAACCATGTTAGTAGTTCCCTGTTAATTATTAACATTTACAATGTTCACATCTCAGTGAGCATTGTAATATGAAATATTTTATTCATGTCTTTCTTATGGGATTCTTCAAAGATTTTCACACAAACACATATGTGCAAAGACCACATATGCATGTGCACACACTATTTCAGTCATCCTTGTCCATAAAGCAATCTCATGGAATGGTGTCTTGGGTTGTTTTTATTCTATTCTTGCTTGTAGTGTGTTAGCTCAAAAAACAAACCACCTAAATGTAACTGTCAAATTCATGTATTTTCTGCTCATGTATGTCTTGATCCTCTCACACATAGCTTATGGATTTTAGATTAACTTTTTATAAATAAATGATCATGATGATTGAATAAGGAATCAGGCCAGTTATTGTTGTAGGCATGGTAGTCAGATTTTTAATTCCCCATCCCAATTTATTTTTAACACATAGAAATGATCATTAGGTATTGTAGGACTCTTTATCAACATTTCATTGATAGTCAGAATGTTTACAACAAAAATAATCACAATGGCTGTCCACTGTTAACATTTATATATTATTCCCACCCTAAATAGCTTATTAGCGTTATAAGTAAATAGCTTGTATTGCATTACATACAAGGCCATCCCGAATGTAAGCTCACCCCCTAACTTTTCATGCAAAATGCCCTATCTTGTATAAGCCCATCTCTTTGATTTAAGATTATTTAGAAATTGCACACTGAATAATATAATGAATGAAATGTTTAATAAATTGAATTGAAATTTAGCATCAGGATGTTAGCTAGCTCTTGACTGCATAGGCCTCCCGAAGTCTGTTGTAGGCCTATTTGTGAGGCATAGGGAGTGGGTTTTTTGTTGTGAAAAAACAATTGTTGGTAGGATTTTCAACTCAAGGGCCTGGAATTGACCAAGCCAAATTTCCACTCCAATAACGATTTTGTTGTACATACTCTGTTGATAAGCATAGACTAGAGGTGGGAGGAGTTTACTATGGCCAGCATCTTTACCCCAACCTTGTAGTGGTCGTGTGAGCTGCTTGTTATCTGATACCTTTGGTCATTTTGCCATAGCTGTGGTACCTTTCCTTAATACCTTGATCATTATACTCTGTAGTGTTCCCTAATAATGCCATGGTTCTAGTAGCAATCCCTCATTGTAACATCAGTGGCTGTTCTAGGAGATGGAGATCACTGCCCTCCCCTGGCAGACACCAATAAAATCTCTGCTTAACCAAGTGAAAGGATAATAACACATCCTCATCCTTCCTCCTTTAACCAAAATCCCTGCTCTCCCTTAGATCATAGGTTCTTAATTGCCGCTCGCCTCCTTGACAACAAGTCTTTGATCTGTCACTGAACATGACTCTGGTAGCTTGTCCTGCCCTATACTTTTACATTCCTGGTTGTGGTAGCTTTTCCCAGCCCTTTAATTCCATGGTTATGGTAGAGAGCCTGCTCATAACTCCCAACGTTCTCTTAGCCATCCACTGAACTTGTGAGGGCTAACATTTCAAAGAAGCTTCATCAAATCACTGCCATTATTATTATCATATTGCTTATAAGAGAGCTATGAAAGACACTCTAAAGTTTCCCCACATACACAGCATGCATTATAGCTGGCATCAAGGTCGGTTGAAAAGACAACAAAAAATTGTCTTTTCACATTGTAGTTAAATTGTTTTGTACTTTCTTTTCACATTGCTTTGAAAAAAAATTTAGTATAGTTTTCACAACTTATAATAGTGTTCATGCCTCTATGCTACAGGAGGCTCATTTCAATCTTAACTTGCAAAAAAAAATTTAGGCTTTGGTGTTTGTGAATGTGTGTATTATAAGTTGTGAATACTGTTACATTAACTTCATCTCACTTTATAGATTTTAGCACTACCAGAAATATTTCTGATTTTGGCTTGGACCTAATGCATGGATTAGTTTCGCTACATATCCAAACAATCAAATTTGTTGTCTTTTAACCAATCAGTGGAATCATATATTGGTTTATATTGAAATATAATTTAATTTCCTAAAGTTCTCCTAAGAATATTATATCAAATCAGTCTTTTCATTTAAAACTGAAAACACCTGGTTAAAATAAAAGGAGGTCAGTGAACATCATTTAGATGGAATAAATACAGATAATTAATAAAGTTTCTGATTAATCATTTATAAAGTAATACAATATTATAATTCTCTCCATTGCCTATACTCCTGTAACACTTTTCTTTACCATGTTTTTATTAACATTATTTCTCTTACATGTTAAGTATAATTGTTGGTGACTGATTATTTCCTTCAGAAGGTAGCTGGTCGAACATCAAACTCAAGTCAGTTGGAAGCACAAGCTGCAGGCAGCGTAACTTCACATAGTAAGCCACGTCCTTCGAACTTACCAACACAATCAGTCCCTCAAAGAACTTATGTCATAGATGTGAATGCCACATCAGATGCCAGGTCACCAGGGCAGAGGTCACTAAGATCAGACCTTAACTCGTCTCTGAGTGACCGTCCTACTAGTATGCCTCCTGTAAGTCCGCATGAATTTGAACGGAGAGTTGAAGAGAGACGGAACTCTTTTTACGATAATGTATATGTGGACGACCCATTTGCAACCTCAATGGAAGAGTCCTTAGAAGCATTACACGATACAAAGTATCGTGGGCGTGATAGAGCGAGTTTTGACACTTCGAGAGAAACGTCAAGAAATGTGTCGCGTGATGCTTCACCCAGTCGATTTAGCGACCACGGATTTGAACTGCAAATGGTTGCTCCACCCGAATCTATTCCAGAGAGCCAGGAAATTTACATGATGTCAGAGCATGGAACACGATTGAATGGATCCATGATGCATCATAATGGAGAAAGTCAGGAATCATTTTCCTCAATGGGAACTGTTGTTGAAGTTTCAAGTCCCAAAAGGAAAACACCACCACTTATCAAACAAAAACCAAAGACACCTTCTCCAGATATGAATAAACCCCATACATTGATTACGAGCGGTGTTGTTCAGAGGTCTCCGCCTCCTGTCAGCCCAAAACCAAGACGAGTTAACGGCAGCCCAAGGGGCTTGCGCCCATCTGTACACTCAATGAGCTCTCCGACAACTCCAGTGCACAGTCCTATTAATGGTGGCCCGATCAGTACTTATGTGTGATGCAAATGAACGGGCTCCTGAGTGGTTATATGAATCTGCCATTGTTTGTACAGTGTATAGTTTCTATGGATTCTTAAATAGCATTTATAAGCGGCAAACAGGACGATTTCTATAATATTAGTGAGCTACTCTACTCCACAGAGATTCACAACTGGTTTTAACATAATATGGTAATTTTTCTTGGTTTGGAAATAATTAAGTGGTCACAATAGCAGCACATCATGAACACAAAGTGACTATCATCATTAATGAATGGTACGATGGAATTAGGTTTTGTAAATTCCAACTTGGGTTAATGGTGTAGTCAAATATAATGGAATTATAGCCAGCAGTTTCACAAGGATAACAGTTGACAGAAATGATGTTAACGCTGAAAATTACAGGACTGATGTGATGAAAGGAGCTTCAATTGTGATGAAGGAAATACGTGCTGCAGATAGCCTACCTTGAACTACATACAGGTAAATGAAAGAAGTGAAAATTGCGACTGATGACAAGTTTGTTGTCGAAATTCTTTGCTATTGATTTCATTATTTCATTCGATACCAATTTGCCAGTAAACTTCAGAAGATCTTAAGTATATTAATAAAGGAATCTTTTTTTCTAAGGTGTAGTACATAAAATGAAAATATAAACTGTGTTTTATCATTTGTACATTTGTATTTAAAATCAATTTATTCACATCCTTGGGTGTATGTGATTTACTTCTTCACATCTAAGCTGTAGATATTATGTGAGGCACAGGTTAAGGGGTTGAAGAGCATTTTCAAAGCAATATTACAGCTTTTATATAGGCTAGAAATGAAGCTATTTGTTTATAACTATTATGTTAATTGTATAGGAAATTATATAATGATGGTACTGTTGATCCTACCTTAAGTTTAATGTATTGTAGATATTGTTCACAATTTGTAATTATATTGTTATTTTTTTCAATTGTTTTAACTGCTGTTACATAATAACTATAACTTTTGTTTTGTTTTTTTTTTCATTCTAAATGATACAATCATTTATTTATAATGTTTATTACTGTACTTGTTTTTATATTTGTTATTTTTAGTATTATCCCACCATTACCTTAAGAAAAATACTAATATATTACTATTATAAATATTGTTGTTATTATTATTATAAATTTAACTGATTATATTTTCATTAATATCATTATGGTGGTAAAATTATAAATGATACCTTACTGCTACTTTTATTGTTGTTATTGGTATTGTTAATCATCATCATTATCTATTATTTATTAGTTTAATCATATTTATAATAATCCTATTTTTCTTTCTGTAATTGTTGGTTTAGCATTAGCATTTTTATTCTAATTTACAGAATAGATAAAATATAAGTTTAGAAAATTTTTATACATTTTTGCACAAATTGAAGATCTTTCATTAATATGTCTCATTCTGAATTTATTCTATGCAACCGGAAAACTAAATCTCCCAGAACAACTAAATGAAAAAAATGTCAGAATGACCAAGTATTTATGTTAAAAATGGCCTCCACAGTACCAACTAATCATTGCTAGTGGTAGGGATAAGAGGAGTGAGGTGGTGGGGATAAGAGCAAAGGGTAATCCACAACTGAGAAGAAACAGGGAATTTGAATTATGCAGAAATATAAACAGATTGACAATAAGTATTTAACTTTTTTTTTTAAACTTAAAGGTAATACATTTACATAAATACTAAGAGCACCACAGTTATTTTACACTAAGAGGCCCTAAGCTATTGTCTTTTGCATTATACTAGGCAGCCCTAAGTTATAGTTTTGCATTGTACTAAGGAGCCCTAGTGACTAAATTACAAGTGTACACACAATATGTATACAAAGTAAGCAGCTGTAGCTAACACCCAATATGAATAAAAAGAACAATATTTTTTTTTAAATGATTGAATTATTATTATTATTATTATTGTTATTATTATGTTATTGTTATTTATATTGTTATTGTTGTTATTGTAAATATTAATTTGATTATGATAAGGTAACTGTTGATTCGTTGTTCTGAGCATTCAGCAACCTTTCAGTGGTTTTATTGCTACTTAAACCACTTTATCTTTGTCTATATAATATAATTGATCCCAAACAGAGGTGTATAATGTTAGTTTAATGTAAGTGATTTGATAGTCATGTAGAATTTAATACTGTACTTCAAGGGTTATGTACATGTCACTAACAATATTTTTTGCCATCACATTTATAAGATGTTTGTTATATTTTAGTTTTTCTTCCAATTAATAAAATATGAGTTTGATATAAATAAATAGTTGATAAAAGGATATATAAATGGATATAAATATCTAATGTCAATATAACAGTCCATGGTTAGATTGACAGATTTATTGCAATAGTCTCTATAAACGCTAAAAAAAAATAAACAAATGTTACTAAATTTTATTTAATAGTAATTGTATTATTTACTATTATTTCTTAATATTATTAATCTTGAACTATTATTAAAAATTTTATTTTAATATTATTCTTGTTTCATCAGGAGATAACCTTGGAGAAAATTACAAAAAAAAGTCTAAAGTTAATGTACAAACATTATCAATATTTACTTTAATAATTATTAAAATAATTATTTATTTAAAAAATATGTTTTTGCCATTAAAAAAGGATGAAAGTGCAGTTCACGCTCCAATTGAAGGCTCCTATAATTTAGGACCACTTTTTAAATTTTTTTATTTATTTATTTTATTTTTATTTAAGTCCGAACTAACAATAACAGTATTAACCCAGTAATTGTTGAGAGACGTAATGTAAACCCTGAAACTACTCCAAATCTTCAGGTGATGGTCCTGAAACGGAGGGCGAACTGTATCTAGATAGTGTGAGAAAGTATGTAGAAATAAATGATCAATTGAAGAGGTAACTTGATGTTAAAAGCTGCTTATGAAGGGAAGCTCTTTATTCTGGTGGAGTTGTATACTAACAACAAAATGATTGATTATATTAATATATTGATTTTCAAAAGTAAAGACAGTAGTGGTATTTGTATACTGATATTTCACATCTGAATTTTAAATAATGCTTATTTTTTATTTGTTTTTCAATTTGTTTTTCTTTTCCTTCCCACCTAATCTAATTCTTGGTCTGTGCCTGGTAGAATCGTTTATATAATGTAGTTAAACTGAGTGATTTTGTTTTACATATGTTACTGAAAACCACACTGTAAATTTTAATAGATTTCATGGAGTGATCAAATTATTAAATGGCACAGTTTTTATAACCTAACAGTGCAAACACAAAGGGATGTGGTAGGAAGAAGGGCTGTCATTGACAAGTAGAATTCATTGTCACAATTGCATTTTTACCTTGACTGCTTTATTTACATTTTAATTTGGGGGTCATCATCATTCATCATTTTCTTCATTCTACAAGATTACAAATCATACTTTTTTCTGTTATTCCCCCATTGAAAAAAGTACACAATAAAATGATGGTTTTTGTAGTTTTTAGTTTATAATTTTATTTATAAAAGAGTACATAGTGTCGACACTGTCAACCCCTCCACTCCTAAAGCATATGTTTGTGCCCCTACTATGTGTAATTAAATATAGTCTCTTTATTGATAAATTAGCCTGCATTGGTTTTGTAACAAATAATGTAAGAATATTTACTATAATTGCACCCCTCATGTATTTTTCTGAAACCACCATTCTGGTATAGTTTGATTGTTGAGAAAATCCATTTTTCCACCCAATTTCAAAAGAGCACAAAAGATGCTCTCTTCTGTGATCCCCTTCCTCCTAAAAAAAGAGTGCATAATAAAATGATTATCATTTTGAGATCGTCATTTTTAGCTCCGATGAGGAGCTCTAGAAACAGTTGGCTGATTGATTAATAGTCTTTTTGAAATCTACTGCCTCTATTATACTGCCCTCATGAGGCTGATTGATTAATAGTTGATTGATCTGTTTTAGGTCTACTGCCTTTATTATACTGCCCTCATGAGGAGCTCTAGAAACACTCACCTGATTGATTAATAGTTGATGGATTATAAAACTTTTTTACCTCCACTGCCTCTATTATACTGACCTCATTGTAGCTTTCGAGTTTACGAGAACTTGTTTTCATTTTCATAAAAGTGTATATGTTTGTACATGGAAATGATGAAAACGAAGTGGATGACCTGTAAATCAGTCTGTTATTGAGAGGTGATAAAATATTTTATCCATTTAATTGAGCAAGCCAATGTTTTAATTGAACTTTTGTTGGTTTCCAGAATGTATATTCTTATTAAGCACTTGTTGGAAAACAGTAACTTTATGTCCATATTTATAACAACAAAAAAAACAACAAACAAACAGTAAAGCAAAACATGTATAATTTGTTTGCTCTCCATTACACTATTTGGGATTCTTTTGTTTATGTTTAATGTTAATTTTATTCCACAAAACACCCCGCCCCTTCAATTCAAATTGTTGATATTTCAACTCACTGGAATGAACGAATCATGGGACTGTGTTTAAGTTGATAGTCGTTCTTTATGTACAGGTTCTATTTTGCAACATAAATTTATAAAAAATAAATTTTAAAAAAACATTTAAAAAGACAGTTACTGTAGTTCCTCGAGTAGATAATTTCACCGTTGAGCGACAATTGTGTTATCTTTGGGGTGGGCTTGTGCCCGAGGAGGTACACTAATTAAAAATGAGGATTATTGTGTTTTTGATAATAAGTATCCAAAGCTGTATAGAAATTATGGGATGAACTAGTATAATTTATGTATGATTCTCATTTTTACAGTATCTGTGGAGAATATCTGTTTTATTTAGACTGCAAATAAACAAGAATGAAATTATTTTCTGCGTCTGGTAGCTTTATTTTCTCTCATTTGTGAGCTGTCGTGACAAAATCAGTCTTGTGGTACGCCAGGTCAATTTGATATACGTATTCAAGAAAATATATCTGAAGTGATATTTTGAGAAAAATTGGGGGATCAATTTTTCTGACAAGCTTAATATTTATATTTCATATTAGCAAAAGTTCTGAGTTGAGTTACCTAAGGTAATAATGTTTTTGAGGCACATTTTATAAAGCTGTTTTTCAGGACAAGAATTAAAAAAAGGTTGTAATGTGTGGCTACCTAACATTTCGGAGTCCATTTTAGTAATTAAATTTATTATGTAAGAACAAACAAGACATCTTTCTGACTTTTTAGCTAATCTTCGAAGTGATTTTGACAACCATGTTTTAGTGTATTTTGAATTATTTATTAATAACCTATCCTTGACAGTTTGATATTTTTTGAAAATACCTGCCCCTTTCTCTGAAAAATTAAAAAAAAGGAGGTAATTTAATCCTCAGGTTTCATTCGGTCGTACACCAATCGAGTGGAAAGTTGCCAAACATGTTGAAGCAAATCTTAATCTTCTGATGTGGTCTAACTATTGATTCCCGGCCCTAAATGCATAAACTTTTGTCGAATTAAACGGAAGCTGCTGCTGAGTTGTGGCCCAGCCAACAATTGTACGTTATAAAAATGTTAAAATTACGTTACAGTTTCATGTTCAACTTGCGTTTATTTTTGGTATTTTGTGTGTGTGTGTTTTTTTGGGTTTTTTTTTTTTTTTTTTGTAGAAACGTTTTCTGGAATTTTACAATAACATTTTGTGTTCGCTGGGGGCATCAACATTGGACTATCAGGATTTGAATGCCTATAAACTGTACTGTCATCAACATATAATTGAGGAATTCTTGATATCTTCGGGTAAATCATTAATAAAAATCACGAACAACGTCCCAAAAAAACTGACCCGAGGCCCGCATGTAATGCGTGTCAGTCTGAGCTGATTTAACCCCGTTTATAGACGCACTTATCAAAAGCATTCCTAGTCAAAATAGATGTAATCAAATGCACCTATACTGCATTCAAGCTATATTCATTTTTATTATTATTAAGGGAAGAGAGCGTAATAAACGTGGTTGTTCTGTCATATGGAAAAAATGTAGGATGAATATATCCAACATCTGGTTTGCAATTTTGCTATAGCAAACGAATATCCATCGCACATGTAGTTCAATTATTAGGATAATAAATTACTACTCACAATACAAAAAGGCTAAACAAAGCAATGTTGTTTCATTAAAAACTATTAGGAATATTGCGATTCTGACCAAACTAAATCAATACAATTCTGCTTCATAAACGAATTGCGTTCATATAAAGTGTCAAAGAATAGTACCATTAAATTTTTAAAACAGGCATCTGTTGCCTTCTCTAACGCCCACCACTAAAACCATGCATATTTTAAAATGAAACAATACTATAATTTTGTTTACACTTCATAACCAGCTTTTTATTCTGGCAAATAATGTCGGTGTCACAGGGTATTTTCAATGAAACACCAGCAAATCTGGCTTCCTGACAACACTGCTATTTACTAAAAGTATTTACATTAAAAAATACATACCGGGTCTATATATATATTGTAGGGGACTGTATTATTCTAATGTCTATCACTACGGACGCTCGGAGGAAATAGCATTTTCAGACATTTTTAGAAATGGGTTTGGAGTGTGTATGTATTCATTTTTTAAATATAGGCCTATTCAGCTGGATAAAAAATAAAGCAAAATATGCTTAGCACTTTCCAGCAAACGAATATCAAGGAATCGCACTCGAGATTTTAGAATTAAAAAAACAAAAACAAAAAAGGCGCAAAAGCCATGTGGTTCGGGTTTTTAAAATAATGAAATACCACGCATATTCCAAAAAGGCAGAACGAAGCAGCAATATTTTTTAATTAAAAAATTATTACAAATTTGAGAATGAATTTCCATGCAATAAAGAAAATTAATATTTTAAGTCATTAAACCGACATGTTGGTTTAATGACTTGAATAATGGATATTTTCAGTTCAATATCAGCATATCAATATAATTTTTTTAAATTTATTTAATATAAAAACAATATCACAACAGTCCGAAAGGGCAAGCTAGTGAGTTAACAAAAACAAAAGGCAGAACGGAGCAGCAATATTTATTAATTAAACAATTATTACAAA